CTCAATTCCAATTGCATACTGAGTTATTATGAGCCACGTTTTCCGTTTTCCAATAAAATTGACGTAAATTGAATCAACTATTGGAGCCCAGAGAAGTTTCATAGAAAAAGGCCAAGCTGATATTGAAAACGTTGCTTGTAAATTATAGCCACCGGCACGGTAATTTGATTGAAGAAAAAATGGAATCGAAGCAGAAATTCCGATAGAAATGCCCTATTAAAAATTAATAAATAATTTGGATTTGTTGAAAATAAAACTATTAATCTTCGGCTGTACAGCGAAAATTAAAACCAACAATTTTTCCCTAAAATACGATGTTTGTACCAAGTATCGTATTATAACACTTGATTTTATGAGCTTTGCCATAGGCTTTATTCACTAACTGTCATTAACTTTAAAAGGCTCTGTTCTCTTAAATTAAATTTAACTCTGCTTTTGCAAGTTTTTTATCAAGGCTGTTGAATATTCAGGTCATTACTAAGCTAACGAACCAACATTTATAAAACACACCAAAACCAATGATTTTCCATAAAGCGCTTTGATATAATCAAATCACCAAATCAGTTGTCGCAATAAGACAGTGTTCAGAAAGCTGAGTCTCATTGATATCTCAAATAGGAATATATTTTAGCAATGTGTGAGTAGTATTGGAACATTGGCACCAAATGTGCTAACATTGTAATTCTAAAAAGACTATCTACAACAATGAAGGGCATTTCTTTAGGACAATGAGGAGTTTATGCATATTCACTTACATATATGAAGTCTAAGGGAAAGTACGGAAGAAAAACTTGAAGACAAACCCGTGAATCCAGGCATACTACAATGGCTACCATTAGAACAAGCGACAAATGGAATATAAAATACGTTGAAAGATACTCAAAAGATAGTGGCAATGGCATTTTTTAATGGTTTTAGCCATCGTATGAGGCATCATGTGCCGAAATCTTTATAGAAATATGTGTATCTCACTTAAATAATCGAATTTAGATTGCCCAATCACAACTTTCGGTATATCTTGTAGTTACCTTTAACTCGAATTTTTGTGACTTGGAAAGGCAATATATTAACCACAATCATTCAATCAGAGAGTGACGACAAACGTCTCTACATAGTTACTTTAGGTCAAATATCTTGCCTTCCTAAGTAATGACACTCTTGTTCATAATTAAAACAGGCACTTCAGCCCCTTGGTCCTTTCAGCTAAATAAAAGTACAGTCAGATTTTGACCATAGTCAGCAAACGTGTATGCTGACAAAAATCAGTCGATTTGTGTAACCAAAATAGCTTATATTTACATATTTTAGGTCCCAACATGAAAATTAGCATAACTGTAACCGGATTGAGAACGTTGACACTGAATAAAAAAGGAATAATATCTAAGTAAATATATTGAATAAAATCGATCGTGTATAACCGATGTTTTTACCAACCTGAAAAACATATAGTACTATTAGTAGAAGAATTGCTGGAATATCTTGATACGAAGTAAAGCAGGTGCACAACTTTTTGAACCTGGATGGAAACATTATAAGTGATGTGTAATGTCCGGTGAGCCACGATAAAATGGCAAAACACTCTCCAAATCGCCCGCTGTTTCGCTTCAATAACCTTGAACCGAGTAATTTATTGCAACCAGCCCGTATTTTAATTCCTCGAGGCTGATTGAATAACTGTAATGCTGTTTGATTTTCAAGTATTTTCGAACTTCTGTGGTCCGCTTCTGTGTGGAATTCACAAAATCTTTGCAAAGAACGTAAGCTAAGCTTTCTCTTTCTTATAGAATACACTTTGGTTCGCTCCTTGCTTTGTGACTGTTTTCTTGCAAATCAGTTGATTTGTAGCAGTGTACAGCTACTTCTTTTTGTTGAAGACTTAAGCATGGCCAAAAAAAGAAATAGAATAAACGGGAATTCCGGACGTTTTCTGCAAACGCGAGTTTTGCACAAATCACCGGTTTACACGAAGAAAAGTTCAATAACAGATGTCTGTATAGCAAGTGAAATGCCACTGATCCCTAGACAAGTCATCTGGCAGTTGGCAGTTGCATACCTCATTACTAGCAGCTCAGGCTACCAACGCTGTGAGGAAAGGAGATACAGTCGCTTTTCGGTGTAGAGTGCTAACAGAGTTGCGATATTGAAACTATTAGTTTATGTGTACTAAGATTTCTATCAAATTTGACGCATACATCAACTTCGGTTGATTCTCTCGCCCGATAATTAAATATACTGCAGATTTTATGAAAACGGTGTGGATAACATCACATGCAAACACTAATTTTATTCACAATTATGATTAATTTGAAAGTTTTGTATCTTTGCTTGGAAACCATCTTTAATATGCAAGCAATCGTGGCCTAAAATTATTGCCGGTATATTCGTTTTCTGAGCATTTATTCCTGTAGTCTTGAACTCTGTTGTTTGTAAGATGGTCGAAATTAGATTAAAACACTGGCTGTCCACAACTTGTAAGACCTTATATTTTAATCATCCGAGATAGTGTAGATTCGGTGATTGAAGTCAGTGATTTGTGAAAAAGTAGGGACATGAAATCGAAGAGTGAACAGATACCGATCGTTCAACACTCTCTAGACAAAACTTGTGGCCGATTGCCTTCGATATAATTTCTTAGGCTTCGTGTATCAGTCGCCCTGTTATTCTTTACTAAATAAATCCTAACTGTATATGAATTCAGATGTCGACATGACTACAGTTTATTATTGAATAACACAGATCATAAAGCTACAAGTACACCAAGCAAAGTTGAGTAGAACAGCTGATACGCGCAAGCAAATACAAAGGCGGTTTCGGAGTCGAACCAATTATTGAGATTCAAGCACATATACATGGGGAAAAGAATGGTTCATCGAGTGACATTCAAGCATCAAACATTTATGCTAGAAGGAGGCACATGTGTTTAGTCCCTCACAGGTGATAGAGCATACATGTTTATGCAGGTATGACAGTAATAACAATAGTAATAATTCAAAGACGTAGACAACTTGTTACCGTCGAGTAACACATCCCGTTAAATAATTCAGTTGAAGGGCTTGGCAAAATTAGTTGCAAACAAGCTTAATTGTAGGAGAGGTGCTATAAACTGAAGCTTCTAGAGCTTACGATGAGCAATGTAAAAGAGACTCCGATGTGACAGAATCAAACATTGATTTCATTAGGATTCTTTATGGGCTACATGGGTCGCAAGGAATGACAAATTTGTTTATAACTAAACAGATGCTCTGTTGTGGCGTTGGGTCCTAACACGTGACAATATGGGAAATAGACAATGAACATTTAACATGGAGAAAAACCCAACGATGAAGAGGGCCGGAAGAATGAATTGACTTAATTGGAGTTGACTGTATGACTCGGCCATGCAGGCGTGGTCTCTGCTGAATGTTACCTTATATCTTTAATTCATAATAATTATATTGTACTGTCTTCAGCCTAGTTTTGTTCCCTATCATGTATTGGTGATTGTTATGATGCAGTGAGTTGGTGTAGACGATGATGTGACTTCCATGTAAGATCTTATAGATTAGGCAGTTATATCATGAAAAATCTACAGTTATAGGATTAGGTCTATTATTAGAGCAGTACTATCGATAGCTCGCAAACTCACTCACCAACACACTCAGACAATCACGCACTCACTCAATCAACCAATCAAGCAAACAATCATTCATCAACTCGTCACATCACTATTATAATGATCACATTGTTTGCGTGTGTGTCTGAGTGTTTGGGTGAGACATCGAGTATGAGTATGATTTTCGGCTGTATAGAGGGAGACACGACAGACCACGGAGGTGTTCTGTCTCTGATCGCCTAAGTCGTCGATTTATTCGTGGTGTTAGAGTAAAACCGTAACTGTGACAGGGATGATTTTTGATGTATTTTCTGATGATTGTAGAACTTTGGGTCATCATTTTCATGTTGCCAGTGATACTTTTTGATTATTTCGGAGGTGGAATAGAAGGTTGAGAGGGTAAAACGATGACTAGGAAGTCTGTGATTGTTTTATGATCGGGGAAACATAAGGATTCCGTTGACTGGTAGGATGAAAAGTGGATTGGTTCTGGTTAACCCACCGCGTTGTTTTGAGGCATAATAAGAACTTTCAGAATTTGTCGCGAAAACTTTTAGATGTGTGTCCATCACAACGCAACCTTGACGAAACACTTCTGCTTGCAAACCGTTTGACTGTTCAGTGTAATGATACAATTTATCTTACCATAATTGATTGGTCGAACTCCTTTTACAGGTAGCATTTTTACTGTTCCTAAGGTACAATGGCATCAATGTTAAACAGACTTGATGCGAGCTACCAGTTTAGATCACTCGGTAATTACCGTACAAATAATAGAAACTGAACGCTTATATCTGGTATTGAAAATTTGGTTCGTTGTATCAGAACTATTACCCCATTTGATCGAGCTAGAATATAACTATTATTATTATTATTATCAGCTTTATTCAATTTTATATTTTTGGTACAATATAGAATTCTCAGCGCTAAGTGTTTCAACAAGTTTCCGTATCATTCTTCTTGATCGGTCCTGGAGATAAATATTGAGTGATCGCCAGTTAGATGTTAGCAGTTCACTAAATGAACATCTGAATAATACTTAAGGAAATGCTTTTGCCGTAAGCGAATTGAACATTACTGTTGGTGTCAACAATAAGTTGACTGTCCAGCAATGTGGTTGTTACCAATTCTGGCAACATAGCTGTTACAAAACAAACTTATTGATGAAGCTGAGATTACTGAACTGATCTTCTAGAAGGGGAGAGTGAAACGTTAATTGTGCCTTTAGTCAAGTTGAATCTGTAAAATTTAATCCAGGAATGATTTCGAGTTCTTGTCAAGCTGTTTAGTTTGGTGAGATGTCTACCTATGGAAACCCGATATAATTTTTTACTTTGGAAAGCATTACTAAACACACTAATCTATATAAGTAAATTGTAAGAGAAGGACAGCCTACAAATTGGATGTTGTATGGAATAACCTTGAGGTCCGGTAGCGGTTTCAACCCATCGCGTCATCAATCTATAACATGTGTTCACGGAGTTCCTGATGGATTATTAATCACAGAACAGCTGTAGTATGGGTAATGAAGACAGGATTAAAACAGATAATCATGGATCACGTTTGGTTTTGTGAATACTGCTCCTCAACTGAAGGGAATGAAAGTAGAAAGCTTTTCTCAACACAGAGAGACTTCGTTAATCATATCCGAGCACACCATTTGGTTCGCAAGTTTAGAAATGATGTGGAAACGTTTATCTGCCGGTAAGCTCAGTTAGTTTTATATGTTTAAATAATCTCATGTCCAGTCAACACTTTTTTCCATGTCAATTTAAATTTGTATGTAAGGTTAGCGAGAAGCAAGCGGGATTAGGTGCTTATCATAGAGCAAGAAGGTTCCTTCAACATTATTGTGAAGTATGATAAACAAAACACTTCTTTGCACGACACCTTAAGGTATTTATACGATTGTATAGGAAGCTGCTTCACAAACATGTATCGTGATAAAACTCCCTACGTGGACCAATCAGGTTATACTATTTATACTATTTACTGCTCACAAACCGAAGTCAATATGTAATCCTTTTTCTATTTCAAGGGAATCCCAAATAACCATTGGAATGTTACAAATATCATAGCTCACTTACTTGGATTACTTATTCACAGTAATACTTCAAGCTATTAAGGAAGTAGAAAATCGCATTGTAAAGAACTGCTCAGCGAGTAAGTTTACTCGATATCTAACAGGGGTCACGCCACAAACTTTGCGAGGGTTATATGTGGTGGGCTATTTGAGAGGTTAACAAAAATCATAGACTGAATCGGTCAGGAAAGAATTCATAAACTTGAGAATGATTATTTCACTTGGTCGACCAGTCAATCTTATGTAATATAGAACCTAGTACATTAGCTCAGGTTATCATCCCATGTTAGCACAGCGAGATTAAACCTTTTGAAGACAAATTCCAGAGCACTAGTATTAACGATTATTTCCTCGTCTCTTTCCACCTGAACACGTTGTTTAATCTTATGGCCATACGAAACACTTAACGCGTGAGAACGCTACTTATCCATCTCTGATAAACATGTACCGTGAGAGATAAACGTCTAAATTGCCGACTTGCATACGAAACACGTTTCGCATACAAAAATTTTAAAGGGTAATGTGAGAACTAAATAAACACCCATATGGCACTTTTGCCTAACAAGTTTGAGTCTGTGCTGTAAGTTCTTTAGACCGCCAAGATTTGATATGAATGATTGTAATACATTCTAATAATATGAAGAAAAACATGATTTTATCATTAGCTACGATTTTATTATATGGTAAAAGGGTTTCATACACATTGAACTACACTTCTGTCAATTAAATGTCGTTCAGTATGCAGTTCGTCATAATCAACGTATAAACAGTCACAATTGTGCACCAATCCAAGTTTTTAATAGTTGTTCCCGCTAAAAAATCGCGGATGGTCTTAGATTCTTGTTTAGTCAGTTGTCCAGTTATCTCTATTATTGATTTATTTATTTGAACACAAATATTGGTACAAAGGAGTACCAAACACATATGCGCCATACAAGTCACTTTATTTGCATATGGGCCGTGATACTTCCCGGGTGTTTAGACAGAAACAGACGGTTTTCTTAGGGGCAGTCGCATGTTAGCCAGTGACCAACAATTGATTTATACGCCATTTGTTCCCTCAGGATCCTGGAGGTCATGTGCAGTATTGGTTTGAAATCAGAGCTTTCTAACTTCCCTAAGTGGATTCTCCAGTTATTGCTAAAAATCTCAAAAGGGCATAAATTGTTGGCAAACGTCCTGGTTTAATGTTGTCAAGATTTATCACCAATTCATTGTATTACAGACTCTGTTTAGAGAAACTATACAACTGACCACCTCAAATCAGCAGGCGATAATCTACTGAATTGATCCAACCCTGTTTCACTCCACCTCCTTGACTTCTTTTTTCTCAACCACACTGCACTTTTTCTCGTAACCGTATTTTGACCCCATCTACCATACTACATTAGCACGACGAGATGAAGTTAACATGATAAATAACAAAGTAATCAAAATAATGTAATGACCATGTCAGTGATAAAGACCAAGAAGACTATAGTTCAAAAAGACAGGAAAGTTATTTATGAAGGATTATTGGAGTTCAGTATCTAGAGGAAGATAAGTAATAAGTGTAGCTGCTTCGTCGTGGTTGATTCTTAACCATCTAACAAAAATTCACAACCGCTGCTAGCGGTTATTACATGGGACTCAACCAAGTAGTATGGATGTACTAGCATGGCTTAAAATGACAGCTACTGAGTGACCTCATGGACTAACGTCACTTCGTTTGACCATTCCTAACGTTTATCCAATCTACTTTCGCACCAGTTTGTATCACTTGACTAGGTAGACAGTTGTTAGATATGTTCCCAAACCACCTTAGTGAATGAAGCCTAAGTAGTATTTGTTTTGGGAAAATTGAAAAGGCTATCCTAAGAAGCTAATAATTTCGAATATTTTCGACCGTATTTAGCGAATCACTTGGAAGGTAAAGTTACGGTCTTAACATAATTGTGATTTCTCGCTTCAGTCAGTCAGCTACAACGTAGGACTAGGTACATATGTGCATCGGTCCAAGCTGCCACACCTTATGAGCACAACAAGATGAACACCAAACTCATAAAAGTAGTCACTTCAACGGTAGTAATGTATAAAAGAAAGATCGTTTATAAGGATATAGTGCAGGAAGAAAGAATTAGTTCGTGGAAAGAAAGATATAAAACAAATTTAATTTCACGGTTTAAGGGAAACAAAGTGTTTACACCGATGCCATTGTGATAGATTCTGAGCCATATCACCCAGAGTCTTCAACCATTGGTTACGATAGTCACGCGGACCCCAACCAAGTAGTCTGCATCTAACAACATGGCTCAGACTAGAAGTTAGTGATTTAAAGCACTGATGTCACGTTTTGGTTTGGCCGCTTCTAACTTTCTTCCAACCATTCCGAACATCGGTTAGCATTGCACGTCGTGGTAATCGGTGTTCCTTCATACGTAACACGTGGCCCAATCATCTCAGTCGATGTAAATACACAACCTCATCAACTGATTTACCATCATTCCCTAATACCCTGAGCCTAAACTCATTATTACTTAGCCGGTGATTCCAGAACATGTGAGCAATATTTCTAAGACATCTGTGATTTCACTGTATTATACTCTTTAAGTAACATCTTCAAACACTAATCTTTCCGATTACTGCTTATACTCTTATTCAGTCAGTCAGTCAGTCAGTAACAACGTAGAACTTCGTACGTACGTACATCAGTTCGAATTGCCACACCACCTTAACACAGAGATGCAGTTGTCGATTCAAATCCCGTAGTGGTAGAGGTAGCAAGAGTGTAAGCAGTGATCGGGAAGATTAGGGTTTGGAGATGTTATTTAAAGAGTATAATTCAGTGAAATAAATTTGGAAAGAGGAAAAAAGGGACATGAAGAATTCAGAAGATTAGAATTTGGAAGAACACAAAGAGTGGATGCACCTGCGCCATTGCAAACGATTTTGAGCCATGTCATTCAAGGTCTCTAACCATCGGTTGCTATCATCTCGCGGTCCCCAACCAGGTAGTCTATACCTATCAACATGACTCAGACCACTTGTCAGTGACTTCATGGACTTTTGCCATGTTTTGGTCTGGCCGCCCCTAGCTTTCTTCCAATCTACTCCTATACCACTGAACATCGCACGTCGAGGCAGTCGGTCGTTGGGCATACGTAACACGTGTCCCAGCCATCTCAACTGATGAAGTTTCACTACTTCAACAATTGATTTGCCATCCTTACCTAGTACCCGTTTCCTAACAACTGTGTTACTTACTCGATGGTCCCATGATATACGAGCAATGTTTCGAAGACACCTATGATCGAATACTAGTAACCTACGAATATCCGGCCATGTTTCACTTCCATAAAGTAGGACATGGCCTCTACCACTACGGGATTTGAATCGACCACTGCATCTCTGTGCTAATGTGGTGTGGCAACTCGAACTGATGTACGTACGTACGAAGTTCTACGATGTTACTGACTGACTGACTGTGATCAAATACTAGTAACGTACGAGTATCTTCTACCCTTAATGACCACGTTTTGCAACCGCAAAGTAAAACAGAACGAACTGCTGTGCAGTTTACTTGTCGCCAAATGTTTGAACACCGTCATACTTATCATAGGTCAACAATCGTAGTGTCTCTTGACATCAGGGCAGCCTTCGATTCGTTGGACAAGACTGTTCTCTGGGATTGTCTATTGAAAAAGAGTGTGCCTGAAAAATTTATGAACATCTTAACAACCCTATATACAAACACCTCAGGCAGAATAAGGGCATACAACCACTGCTCTCCATTGTTCTATTCAAACATTGGGGTTAGACAGGGTTGCCTAATCTCACCACTCCTCTTCAACCTTGCTGTCGACGACGTTCTGGAGACAGCGCTGATGTGTATAGGTAGTGGCGATGTGAATCTGTTGCCCGGAGGACTTCTCTTATTGTATACATTTTCCAACCGTTGTTGCTACCTTGACGGGGTGGTCAGACTTGCCTATCGTGATGAAGCAACCGAGCTATACTGGCTGGAACAACCGTTCCTCAAGGTCCTACCATGTCAGACGGGTCGGTTAAAGAGCGGTAAGACTAAAAACAACAAACCCAAGGTCCGAAGGCAAAGTCGTACTGCTGACTGTGAAGAGGTGTGACAGCAGTAAGGTGTTTCCTTCAGACAACCAGCATGACAGCGATGCTGCCCTCCCACAAGGAGGGGTGGGGTTAGAAAGGGTCGACCCTAAAAATGCACACCTCGCCTTATCCCACGGATATCCGTCTTCGGCGGTACGGTCTCAACAAGTACGGAGCTAACACAAAAATTACCCATAAAAAGGTCGTGTGTGACCGAGCAGTTGTCCCTTGGACACTGCGGTCAGGCTCCCAGGTCACTAAGACCACTTCTAATCCAATTTCCTTTTCAGGTACCTCCAGAAGAACCCTTCCACGGTGTGGGCGACCGGGAAGTGATAACCGCCCTCATACCTCTAACAGCACTCAAGACCACTGGATTCATAATCAACCTCCCTCTCGACCCTGAATATGCGGATGATATTGTCTTACTGTGCGATGATATGTAAGCCATGCAATCCGCACTTAGCCTGTTGACAATTAGTGTCCGTAGGTATGACATGTGCTTTATACCTTCTAAGTGCAAATTACTTTTACAAGACTCACAGGACCCTGATCATGCACTCACCCCTGGGTACCTGCATAAATGCTGGTGGTGGCGTGAGTGATGAGATCGATTCACGTATAGTGAAAGCCAGAACGGCTTATACCAGTCTGGGCCAACTTTGGAGCCTTTGTGATGTTATTCTGGCTGTAAAATGTCAGATCTACGACGCGTTGGTGAAAGCAGTCTTGATCTATACTTGTGAGACCTGGCCTATTCGAGGTTGAGTATGTTAGACGACTCTTTGTGTTTGATCTTGTTGTCTCCGATGGATTGCTGATATTCAGTGGCAACACCATGTTAGTAATGCAGAGCTTCGGCAACCTGTATTCAGGCACAGCAAAGATTATTTAATTGGTGTCCCCATCTTGAAAAATCGAATTCAGTCGCTTGGATATGTATCACGATTGTCATCCCAGAGAATTCCACATCGTGCATTACTTGCTGTCGCTGGGACTGGTTGGAAAAAGCGGAGAGGTGGTCAGTGTATGACGTATTGTCGTGGTATGAAAGAAAGCTGTACAGGACTGGCTTCTGTTGGTCCCTCCTGACTCCCTAGTTGAGGTCCCAGAAATGGTGCAACACAGTGTCGCTATCAGATATGGCCCAGAACAGAAGCCAGCGGCGGTCCTGCTGTAACGTTATTTTACTTCATGAAAATTTGACGCAACTTCCTTAACTGGAAGAAATCTCTCTGGCTGTACTTTTGCTAATTGAGCTGTCCCATTATTATTATTTCACTATCATACACTAATTTCTGTTCGTTACTGTTCCCATTTTTCTCATACACACCTTACATTCCTTATCTCTTCACATTCTCATTGTTATTGGGTGACGCATGTGTATCTGGTGCCCCTTTGTACCAATATTTATGTGTTCAACTAAATAAATAAAATATACTTGTCGTTTGATTGATAGACGGATATCTCGCATTCTCCATAGGTGACGTAAGTTGGCAAAAACCAAACGAGCTTTTTGAACCTGTGATGAGATTTCGTCAGACACCAACCCGTTAGAGCTGATCAGACTTCCAAGATAAGTGAAGTTGTCGACGCGTTCATATATCTCATTCCCTATTCTTAGTTCAGGTGTTGACGCAGGCCAGTCTTAAAGCAACAACATGCATTTAGAGAGGGAGAAACGCATCTCAAACATTTTGGTATTGTTACTCAGTGCTACCAAAAGACTGCATTTCATCAGCGTCTTCGTCAAACAGGAATATGACATCGGCATATCCTAAGTTGATAAGTGGACCTCCTGGAAGGAGATCAATACCCGAGAATTCAGTCGACGAGAATGTTATTTCCATCAGTAGGTCTATGATGAAGTTAAACAGAAATGGGGAAATTGGACAGCCTTGACGGACACCACCTGAGGTTGCAAAAGTAGATGACAGTTCGCCATAAGCTCTGACTTGACTAGTAGTGTTCGAGTAAAGAGGCTTTACAAGGTTTATGTACTTCTGAGGTACGCCTTTCAATGACAGACACTGCCACAGAATCTCGCGGTCTACCGAGTCAAATGCTGCTCTTAAGTCAAGAAAGACCACCATTGTCGGACGCCGATAAGTACGCCTGTGTCCTAAAACCTGACGAATGGTGAATAAGTGGTCGATGCAGCCACGACCAGGTCTGAAGCCAGCTTGGTTTTCTCGTGTTTGCAGTTCACGAGTCTTTGTTAGGCGCCCTATAATTATGGAGGCCAGTATTTTAGACACCACATTAGTCAAACTAATCCCTCTATGGTTGTCACAGGGTGATTTTGATCCTTTCTTATATATTGGGACGACCAGTGATTGCGACCATTCAGATGGGATTACGTTCAGTTCCCAGATTTGGCTAAACTATTAGTTAACCTAATCTTTAAAACTGAACCACCATCCTTAGAGACCTTTGAAGTTAATCCATTTGAATCAGCTCCTGTTCCTTATTTCAGATTATCTTTAACTTTTTGAACTTCTCACTTGGCAATCCTCCAAGTTGTAGAAATCGATGTGCGTGTTGGATTTTAAAGTACACAAAACTAGACACTTAATTTCCTTAACTATGTGTAGTCATGAGTAATAATTTAATTTTCGGACAGTTGACGTTGTATCCGGAGATTGCTTTTCATTTAGTGAAACGTTTAACGTCATTCTTAAGTCGGTAGCCGGATTCCATATATTATCTCTGGTTTAGCTTCCCAACATATGTATTGCACTTAACCGATCATAGTTTTTTTGAAATTAGAACACAATCGAAAAGTGATTGCTATGCTCTGCATCTTTGAAGGCCACTGTACCAATGCAACCGTTTACAAAGGTTGTAGGTCAGATTTTCTTTTCCAAATATTACTAACAGCTTTTGCACGAAGTCTAAGGATTGAATTGCAAAAGAAAAGTGGCTGTTATTACTATTTGGGATGTAGGTACAAAATATGCATACAATGTACTCTAATTTCTACTGACAACATCGCTGATTTTCCTACTTTCATTGTAATTAGACAAGCATTTTCATAAACTATATACTATAATGTTTAATGATATGAGCTTTGCTCTACCGTTAACTGTGGATGCCAGGTAGTTTGACTATCTCATAGGAAACCGAGTACAGAAGTCTATGTATTCACTAGTATATATATATATATATATATATATATATATATATATATATATATATATTCAGCTAGTAGATTTCCGATTCGAATCCCTCTTTATCTACTTCAGTTTAGGGCAGTCGAACATTTACTTAAAAAAAGTATATGAATTTGTACAAAGAAAATTGATTGTTAATACCCAAACCTATTTCTCGAACCTTAACTTGAGTTTAATATTAACTACAGCCTAATACCAACTATATAATCATCAAAGTATTAGACACAGAAAAATTATTTAGTCCTAGTTGATTACTCAAAATTAAACACCATTGCCCTCAAAAGGAATAAAGTTTTCTGAACTCTTGAGGACTATAAAATCATTGATCCATGTAACTTAATTCAAGTAACCATCATTCAATGCCATTAATACTTAATTACCTTACATTAAATTTTACTGGTTTCACTGACTAAAATTCCATCTTGGATATTGTCACTGGTAGCCAGCATGCTTTCGTTTAATAAAAGGGTTCCCTAAAAACATCGTTCCAGTTTGGTCAAGCTAACAGTGTCACAGCCCGTACACAAACCGTGATTTGAAATATAGAATGCAGATAATTAGCTCCGGAAACTCACAAGCTTTTCGTAACTGCAAACAAGCTTACTGTGAACTATATCACTACCCTATTTTATTTTTTTGCCTTAATTTTATTATTCACCTTATTCAACAGCTTGTCTCACCTGAAAGTTCTGACTTGTTTGATCGCTTTCTTAAATTTTCCATCAGCGTTAAATCATAAGGTGTTTTACGTATTTAATGTGATAGTCAGTCAGTCACAACGTAGAATCTGTACGTATGTACATTGGTTTGAGTTTCCATACGCCATTACCACTGAGATGAATCTGTCAAGTTAAATCCTGGAATAGTATAGGTAATAAAAGTATCACTGGCAAGAGAGAGGATTAGGCATCAAAGATACGATGCGAAAAGAAAATATACCTTAACAAAGTAAAAACAAAAAACCCTCTGAGGAATTTAGAATCTTAGCATTTAGGAGAATACAAATAATGGATTCACCTGTGCCATTGCAAACAATTTTGAGCCATGCCATTCAAAGTCTCTAACTATTGGTTGCAATAACTACTAATCCCAACCAGGTAGTCTGTACGCATGAAAATAGCTAAGTCCAATTGTCAATGACTTCATGGACAAACGCTATGTTTTGGTTTGGCTGCCCCTAGCTTCAACCTGATCCTGCACCAGAAAACATCTCCCGACCTAATATGATGGATTTCTTGTGTTCCAGTTAACGTCACAGATGAGATGACACTGAGCCACTCATTTGGAACATTTTTTGCTTGAATAATATTGATTGGTTTTCAGATAGTAAACTAATCACTAATTGGAACTTTATTATGTTTATCCACTGAAGACTAATTAAATTCACTATCTGTTCAGTATGATATATATATATATATATATATATATATATATATATATATACAAATATGCAAGATATAAGGCGTTTGCTACCAGAATATTCAACAATAAATGATATTTACGCAGTGTTGTACGATTCTCTGTTTATGGTTGAAATTCATCGTTATTTCTTCCGTGAACTTTTAAACTAAGCTAGTAATCTATTTTCTGTTGATATCAGCTGATTTGTTTTTATAATTGTTTCAGGTATGGCCCGAATAATTCGTGTCTTCTATCCAATGGTCTAGATAGTGTTGAGAAGAGTCATTCGTCTTGTGATTCCTTATTTAAAAGTCAGCGTGACTATGAAAGACATTTAGTTGGGTTTCATCTTCTAAAACATCCTGTATACAAACGTCCGGATGTAAGATCTCCGCTTCCAATACCTCCCATTTCTTCCCACTATAATGGTAAATTTGTTTCATCAACTGTAAATGTTATTTCAGGGTTCTTTATTTATTCCTTCTTTGTTTTATTCTCAAAAGATGATTATATTTTTAAAACCACTCCGTCAGGTTTACAGTGAAAACCAGTTAATGGGTTTCTAATTAAGAGTAATACAATACGCTCATAATGAACATCATTCATTTAGTAATAGAAACATACATTCAACTAGACAACCTCCATTTATGAAGTTATCTCAAATATTCTAGCTTTCAGAATACGGTTAATTAAATAATGCTGTTTTTATACAATCCAAGGATGATAGTTTCGTACACACAGGAAGCAACTTTCATCTAATAATCCAGCAATCATTAGTTTTTAGTAGATTTTATCTTTTTTCTTATAAACTATTACGTAAACCAGAAGGTTGTTTTATAAACATTTCTGTTATGTTTATAATTTGTGTTCAAACTCATGTATGTGTAAACCTTTTGCTCATTTCACTTGCAAATCTCAATGAGCTGTCTCGTACTTTTTAGATTAATTTGTTCTAATATTTAACATTTCTCCAATCAAAGTTGGGATTATTTTGGTCAATTTATCGTGCGTTTAGTAATCGCACGTCAGCATATCAATGATTATTATAAATTTCTAGGCCGTAATCTCACATAGGTTTTACAATAGTTTGACTATATCTTCTCCAAATGCCCTGGTACGGCCGAGAGTGTGGAGAGTCCGCTCTCCCTCTCGAAATACTCTCACACGGCCACGCGTATATAGCCTCTGCCACGGAAGTCCTACTCACTGCCTTCTCGTGGCGGGGGTGTTGTTTACGAAAATGAGAGGACGAAAAGCGAATGTCCGGCGCTTTAACCGGATTCCAAACCAATGGTGCACATGGACTCCAGTATCCTGAGGGAACAAATGGCGAATGAACCAATTGTTGGTCACCGGCTTCTATGGGACTGCATCTCCTTAAGATGCTCCACTGCCTTGTGGATCAGACCTTCAGGTCGAAGGCTCAGGGTGTGGCCCCCTAAGAAAACCACCTGCTTTGGTTTGTGCACCCGGGCAGTATCACAGCCCTCACACATATCGAATGAGATTTGTGTGGCGCATATGTATTTGGTGCCTCTTTGTACCATTATCTATGTGTTGAACTAAAATAAAATAATAAAAATAACTTCTCTAGTAAAACCACTAAGTAAAAAGTCATGACAATTCAAATTTACACATTTAATACTAACCGTGACAGTTATTCAGATATAAGAAATAATAGAAAATCAACCAACACAGTAAATGATCTTTTGATGTCAAAACAAAGGATATTCATTTTAACCCAGGTACAGATGATAACGGTAAAATTCTCAACGAAATTTCCAGAAAACCTTCATGAATAAACAAAATAATCAAAGATTGAATAAATCATGTAGTGATTACCACATCGCAGGGTATTAGGTAATGATGGTAAATCAGTTGATGAAGTTGTCAATCTTCATCGACTGAGATGGTTGGGCCGTGTTACGTATGCCTAAACACCGATTACCACGTCGTGCAATGCTGACGGGTGTTAGAGATGGTTGGAAGAGAATTGAGGGCGGCCAAACCAAAACGTGGCATCAGTGCTTGGAGACACTAACCTCTAGTCTGAGCCATGTTGGTAGATGCAGACTACTTGGTTGGGGTCCGTGTGACTTTCGTAACCGATGGTTGGAGACTCTTGGTGACATGGCTCAGAATCGATCACAATGGTGTCGGTGCATACACTCCCTGTTTTCCCTTAAAATAAGAGATTAAAATCGCTTCATATCTTTCTTTCTACGAACTAATTCTATATCCCGGTACTGTATCCTTATATGCAATCTTTCTCCTATATATTACCACCTTTAACCTAACCACTCCTATGAATCCGGTGTTCATCTTGCTGTGCTAATGAGGTATGGTAACTTGGACCAATGCATATATGTGCCTGGTCCTACGTTGTAGCTGACTGACTGACTGATTACCACATCTCACTATCCATTCAATGAAAAAGTACACTTACAATTCTGGAATTACCATGTGTTAGCTTAAGTTATCTGTTAGGTTTTACTGAAAACCACATCTAGACTGATGTTAAAACTTTGCACATATTGAAAATCAGGTTAGTAACTACCACTGTATATATAATCTGTTTAAAGGGCTAATCGTATAAGCGATCAGTGCGTTGGCATTTTGACTTTTTTAATATGTTTTTTCTCTCTTCTGTACCAGAGAAACCATCACGCAAATGGAGTGTATACCAATCAGTTGTGAATTTACCAGCTGTTTTAAATGATCCAAATTATCGTGAGGTAAATTTTTTAAATGGTTGTTCAAAAAATTGGGATTTGTATTCAGTTCTATTGGTTTTATTGATTTTCCAATCACTCGTGAAAGTTGAATTAAGTACAATCTATGGTGTAATTTTTTCAGGTCACCACTGCTGGTTAATAAGATTTGTCCAGAAAAATGACCGATCGGTATAGTTTATTTCTTTAAGCTTCACAAAATGTGCATCATTTGAAATAATCACAACACAGAAAATATATGCAAAATATAATGCTAATCAGAAAAAGGGTAACTACTGTCTAAACTAAATTTTAAACGTTTCCAATGCTTTTTCGGGAATGATGAAAAGGTTTGTAGCTCATATGAATACTTTTAGTGCTGTGGAGTTGTCTGAGATAGACAGTTTGATTGCGGACCTTTCACTGTCGATCTGAACAACATCAGGGGCTACTTCATTAACAAGAGAGCTTCTTATTTATTCCAGAAGTGTTGAATCAGTTCGTTATGATGGTCTTGTTTGCGACTGGTTATCTCCGTAGGTTTCGTTGTCTTCATTTGTCCATGTATTTTCGTCAGCTGTCTTGTTTGGTCAACCTCTTAACATGCTGTTGATTTAAGTTTGTCGTATGAATTGATAGTTCGGATCTGTATCGATATATCTGTCGGCTTGACCTGGATCCCATAAGTGTAAAAACCCACTGGGATTCTCGGAATCCTTTCAATCATAAATTCCAACATTTTCTAAGTAAAATTCATTTATTCTATTTTAACACATGAACATTGGTACAAGGGGGCACCAAATACATGTGCGTCACACAATAACAATGAGACTGAAGAAACAGAGTGTCAAGTGCGCATAATAAAGAGAAGGATAACGGACAGAAATTAGTGTGTGAGAGTGAAATAATAATGGGAGAAACAGTTCAGTTAGGAAAAATACAACCAGATAGCAGTTGCGTTCATTTTTATGAAGAAAGTTATAGCGGGGCCGTCACTGTCTTCTATTCCGAGCCATGTCTGATAAAGTCTCCAGCCACTATGTTGCACCATCTCTATGACGCCAACCATGGAGTCGTGAGGGACCAACAGAAGCCAGTCCTGTACAGCTTTCTTTCATACCACGACACCATGTCATACACTGACTATCTCGACGCTTTTCCAACCGGCCGGAGCGTCGGTAAATAATTCACGATGTGAAGGAACAGGGTCCTGTCAGTTTTATGAAAGTACCTTGCACTTGGAAGGTACAAAGCACATGCCATACATACGGAAACTGATTGCCAACTGGCTGAGTGCGGATTGCATGGCTTGGGTATCATCGCACAGTAAGACAATATCATTCGCATACTCCATGACGAAAAGTCTTTCTCCAGACGATGGATCCGCACCACCATTACCTACATCCACCAGAGCTGTTTCCAGAACGTCATTGATGGCGAAGTTGAGGAGGAATGGTGAGGTTGAGAAACCCTGCTTATCGATATCAGTAGCATACACCACAGCATCACTAGTGCCAAGAAACACTACGGTAGTTGACCTGTGATAAGTATGACGGTGTTTTAACACTTGTCGGAGGGTGGAGATATGATTAATACATCCTCGATCAGAACAAATGCCATCCTGCTCCTCGCGAGTCAATCTTTCTCGGGTTTTGAACAATTTACGAAATTTGACGTAAGCCAATAGTTTGGATGCGATCGGAAGTAGACTTGTCCTCTTTTGGTTTTTGCAGAAACCGTGTGAACCCTTTCTAAAGATAGGAACAACTATCGACTCATTGCATGATTTTGAAACACCCTCTAATTGCCAGACATTTGTAAACAACTCAGTCATTTTCTTAACCAGAAGGTTGCCAGCTAGTCAGTCAGCTACAACGTAGGACCAGGCACAAATATGCATTGGTCCAAGTTACCATACCTCATTAGCACAGCAAGATGAACACCGGATTCATAGGAGTGGTTAGGTTAAAGGTGGTAATATATAGGAGAAAGATTGCATATAAGGATACAGTACCGGGATATAGAATTAGTTCGTAGAAAGAAAGATATGAAGCGATTTTAATCTCTTATTTTAAGGGAAAACAGGGAGTGTATGCACCGACACCATTGTGATCGATTCTGAGCCATGTCACCAAGAGTCTCCAACCATCGGTTACGAAAGTCACGCGGACCCCAACCAAGTAGTCTGCATCTACCAACATGGCTCAGACTAGAGGTTAGTGTCTCCAAGCACTGATGCCACGTTTTGGTTTGGCCGCCCTCAATTCTCTTCCAACCATCTCTAACACCCGTCAGCATTGCACGACGTGGTAATCGGTGTTTAGGCATACGTAACACGGCCCAACCATCTCAGTCGATGAAGATTGACAACTTCATCAACTGATTTACCATCATTACCTAATACCCCGGGTCTAACCTCACTATTACTTACCCGGTGATCGCAACAGAGGCCAGCAATATTTCTAAGTCATCTATGGTCAAATACTAGTAGCTTACGGGTGTCTTCTACACTTAAAGGCCATGTTTCACTGCCGTAAAGTAAGACATAACGGACTGCCGCGCAGTATACTCGTTATTTTATTGAGTTGTAAGGAGCGTGAAGAAACCCTATGCCTATAAGCGGGACGTTTTGCGAAGCGTAAATAAGGGTATGATTAGAGTTCAGATGGGTACTCCAAAAAAGAACAGTAGTCTTGTACACAACCACGGCAGGTGTATCTGATGGCGATGTGATCAATTTGAGTTCAGGTTTGGGATGCAGAGGTAGGATGCTGGGTAGCACATCGGCGATAACTGTGTCAGTAGTGCGAGCTAGTCAGAAACAGATTGTAGTCTGCCCTGGTACGGCCGAGAGTGTGGAGAGTCCGCTCTCCCTCTCGAAATACTCTCACACGGCCACGCGTATATAGCCTCTGCCACGGAAGTCCTACTCACTGCCTTCTCGTGGCGGGGGTGTTGTTTACGAAAATGAGAGGACGAAAAGCGAATGTCCGGCGCTTTAACCGGATTCCAAACCAATAGTGCACATGGACTCCAGTATCCTGAGGGAACAAATGGCGAATGAACCAATTGTTGGTCACCGGCTTCTATGGGACTGCATCTCCTTACGATGCTCCACTGCCTTGTGGATCAGACCTTCAGGTCGAAGGCTCAGGGTGTGGCCCCCTAAGAAAACCACCTGCTTTGGTTTGTGCACCCGGGCAGTATCACAGCCCTCACACATATCGAATGAGATTTGTGTGGCGCATATGTATTTGGTGCCTCTTTGTACCATTATCTATGTGTCGAAATAATAATAATAATAACAGTTGCAGTAGACAGTCACGGCTATCTGACTTATGGCCAACAAGTCCCCATAGGCCATGTAAACGGTTCTCTTTTGTGCTTAGATGCCCGACCTGAGCATTCAGTTCTCCGGCTAGTACTACGGTGTTTATTGAACATACTTTGTGGAGAACACTTGACCAATGGAAGGACTCATCCTTGATTGCATCCGGCCTGCAATCTTTTGGGCTGTAGGCGATAACGAAACGGCATTATTTCTCAAACTGGTTTCTGTTTAATTTGATGGAACTTTCTAATCTAACAACACATAATCGATTGTTAATTGGGATGTAACCAATTAGTGTTGCCCCAGGTCTAGTGCTTAGAGCGACACCAACGCCAGCAACACTAACGAGAATGCCATAGGGTTCTAGGATAAATGCATGTAAAACAGGCTCTTTAAATCGATATTTGTTTATTTAAACACATAAACATTGATACAAGGAAGCACCAGATAGATATTCGCCACATAAATCATTCGATTAGTGTGAGGGCTGTTTTGTTACCCGGGTGTTCAAACCGACGCAGGATTTAAGGCGATAGATGGAGAGAGATTTTGTAGTACTTCACTAGAGTCTTGAATACGGCTCTCGGATAGGAACCTGACATCGATATTAAGATTTTCTAAAGAAATAGTCAACCCTATTTGTCGTTCGATATGCGTTAATGTGCGAACGTTGAGGTAGACCAGTTTGAATAGTACACGTGGTTTCAGAAAGACTGTTTAAGTATTCGTAGTCTGTGGTAGCATTCAATTTTCTATCAGCCAGTGACTTGAGATTGTTCATATTAGGACAGTGTTTCTACCATAGGCGGACTGTTGTATAAGTTGAAAAATAAAATACACGAAATGAGAATAAAGGGGAGTACATAAGGGACTTAGTATTGTTGAGGATAATGTCCTCAATATCTGACTCCAAATAATAATATCCCGTAACTGAGTATTTTAGGTAGGCTTAATCTCTTAGTAGAATTGCGAATTTCCTCGAGATTATTAAAGAGCCCGAACACCAGTTATAGAGATAGTTTATTGTTATTGAATAATAATAATCCACAAGCGTACGGTGAGCAAGCACACGATGAAACAGAGAGAGTGAGAGAGAGTGAGTGAGTCTGTTAAAAATCCATATATATTTGAGAGTTAATCGGGTGTGGATAGATTATCGATTATCTGCATATTGAAACCAATAGGAAAATAGCTTAAGAGTTGATGTACAGACATACATTCGATCATACACACCGAAATTAACATAGTGAATTAAGAGTTTGAAATGCACACAAATTAACATGATGAATTAAGTGTCTGAATTACAGTGAGTAGACAAATGATACATTACAGATTTAAATCATGAGTCAGTTGAAGCTAGACCACCATTGAAAACCTGGAAGCACTGGACGGCCGTTTCGTCCTAGTATGGGACTCCTCAGCAGTGCGCATCCACGATCCCGCGGCCGTCCAGTGCTTCCAGGTTTTCAATGGTGGTCTAGCTTCAACTGACTCATTTAAATCTGTGAAAATTTCTAAAATCTCCACAAAACCCCTTCTGAAAATGATACATTAGTTGAATGGGCTTGCTACAGTATATAGGAAATAAAAAGGAATCTTTTCATATAATCGTGAATGAGATTTGTCTGAGCGAGCGTTGAAGCAAGAAAAGTTTTTCCATTAGTAGTTATCATTGATTTGTATGAGGGATGTGATACTGCCCATTTTTTATGATAGTGATTCTTGCGGCCGAGAACCATCTGGCACTAAAGTTGGTGCTTCTCTAATCCATTCCCAGTTGTTCTCTGTAATAGTTTACTCTTCGTTGAACAGATCTTGTAAGGCTTTGAACCTGTTGCTGATAGCTCTCTTGTATCCGCTGGTTTTGTAATTATCTCGAAGGAATGCTATATTGAACCTTTGTAATGCTGTTTCTCCAGTTATCCACTGATTTTTAAGCTTCAGTTTTATCTTGACCACAACCAAGTGGTGATTTGAAGCTATATCAGCTACTCTCTTTTTTCTCACGTCTTCTATTGAATACTAAACATTTGAGTGATGCAAATTTGATCGATCTGCTTCTATGTATTGCTATCCTGTGAGACTCATGTAGTATTGTGTATGCGTACCTTCAAACCAAATTAACTTTCAAAAAATCCATCATAATTATTAATTGTTTGAACTTAATTATATTATTCATTTCTCTGATGAGCATTTATCACATGATATACATTCTAAACTCCATAAAATGTGTTTTCCACACTATTCGCCTGCTTATATATATATATATATATATATATATATATATATATATATATATATACTCAACTTGGAATATAACATGAGCAAAGTCGTTTTTGAAAATTTATTTCATATGTGTATATTTTACTTTCTACTTTATGTAGAAAAAAAAATGAACAAATTCTAATCGCTTACCGTCTTTTTATGTCTAAGTGCATGATTTTCGGAGAGATTTAAGAAAAATTACTAGAAACAGTTTGTCTTAAATGAAATTTACTATCTATGAACCTAGGCGTTAATCTAAAACTACACATTCAGTGAGATTAGGCTTTTATTTATTTTCATTTGGTGTAAAGTAAAGATTCTTTTTTCAGTCACTCATTCTTTGCTTTCTTAATCATAAACGATTGAAAATATGTCAGTGCAAGCTCCTGTATTTCATGGCAATTAACACAGCTAGGAATGCGACAAAGGTATGTAGTTTGAGATCCTACGGAGGTATCGATACACTTCATTGATGAGCTCCGACTATAGTCTAAAAAATGATATCAATGTTAGTCTTAATCTATACGTATTAAAAGTACTTCAGAATGTAAGAATGTAATTAGCTGATACAAAGTATATAATAATGCTGAGCTGAGTCATTAGAAAAAGATAAAAACTCTAGATAAATATTCTATATGATTGCGAATGTTTATTTATGAAGCTGCCTGTAGTGTAGTTTGTCTTAAAGTGTTAACTCTTCACATACTCACTTTTTTGTGGTGGACTTATTGACTACATATTTGACGAATTGGAATTTTTAAGACAGTATATATACTGTTTATTTGTGCCTTTAAATCTTTAGTTAGATAATTAGTTGTCAGCACATAAAATGATCAATCAAGTCTCGTTTCATGTTGTTGTATAGTAGATGAAAACTGAGGTTCGATAAACTAATTTATTGTTCTATTCATAAACATATGGTGCTTTTATAAAATATGAAAATCATACATTAAATATGTCATTTTCACATTTCTCTTGAGTTGTCCTTTATATATTTCATCAATTTTCCACTGCTGTTGTTATATATTGTATAGAAAAAAAAATTTTTTTTTAATCTTTTTTTAAATTATACCTAATTACTGGTTAATTTATTTCTAGTTTTTAAACATATCTGTCATTTTTATTTTATAATTACCAGAAAGATATATTTACAAAATTATGGGGTGATAAATTTGAAAATGCTGAAGTTCTACCCAGTCCACATCTACCAATAATTACAGAGAAACATTTTATAGAATATTTAAACAAAATTGGAGTACGTAAACTCGATACAGAATCGTGTAGATCATCGCCTAATTGTCAAATTAATTCATCTAATTCAATCAATGATATTTCTCAATCAGTGAAATTATCCAATAAAGGTGTGTAATTTTTTTGTACAATAAATGTTTTTGATATACTCATTGAAAGTTGTTTAATTACGAATAAATTAAATAAATATTATCTATTCCTTGTACTTATCAAGGAGTCACGTGTTATTTTATGATTTACCGAGTCAATTGTGATTCTGTGAATGCTAATATTGTACGACGTATTTACTGTCGAAGTATTAACATGTATTCTCAGTCTATTTGAAAATGATCATCGAAACGATGATTATTTACTTTTACAGTGATTGTGCGGTTTGCCACAAATATTTCAAAAGAATATTTATAGCTGTTTATTTGCATTATTCTATGTGTACATAGTTTGTTTTATAAAATAGCTTTAATTATAAGAAGTTTTTGTACTAATGGGAAGTTATTTGTATTTACAAGACTTGAATGTCTCAGTGTTTCAGATAACCCACATCCTTACGCGTCAGAATTGTTGTCAGGACAAGCTTATAGTGGCGATATATGTGTCTACAAAAAAACAACCTAATGTAGACATACATTAATACAATTAAAGCTCAGAGGTATTGCCGCGAAATTTCAGTCTTTTTTAATATGGAAAAAAAATCTGGTTACTTTCAATAGTGGTTTAATAAATAACATTAAACCCATTAAGGGATTAAACTCTACTGTCAACACATTTCTCCGACCGAATTTTTCATAAGTCAACTCTCGACATTACCTCTACCCTTCTATTTCTTGTGTAAGTGCAAACATAGCTGTCATATACTGTGTCGATGAAGCTAATAGATTTCGTAGACCGGATGATGTAATTTTCGTGAGAACTTCTTGAGTAGTTACTGTTATGTAATATAATCCTGTAGACTATGGAGTGTTATTTGGAGGTATGCGATAACGTTAGGTTTAACAATAACAAATCGCTTGTCAAGTAACTTGGTATACGAATTAAAAATTTTCTGTACATTTTTAGTAATTTGATTTTTCTTATATATATTAGTTTTAAAACATGAACCATCGCATGATATATCAACGGCTTCCATTCCCGCTTTATACTTTGATCAAAATTTCAATTTGAAAGATGAAAAGACGTTTTGTCAAGTTATACCTTTACACGTCCGTCGTTCTCACTTTCAAAATGTTCGAAACCCATTTGAAAATATCGTTTCCCCATCAAGTAAACCAGATTCTGTAAATATTTCAAATCGATTAAACTATCCCAATGAAGAATTCCTGCAAAAAGAAGCTTTCCGCAATCAGCATAATCAATTGGTTAATTATTTGGATATTATTGAGTTAAATATAGTTGAACAGGTAAATATGTATACTCTTATTGTTTTACTAATTCAAATATCATAACCTCCTTCGAAGCGTTGCTCGTCTATGTCGTGGTCATTGAGTTAGCAATGCGTGGTACTAGATAAAGATTAATGAGGTAGTGAATATTCATCGTATACCCATCCACCGACATGTAGTTATGGCTGATGTAGGATTGGGTTGAAAGAAAGCTTTGGTTAACCAAACCCAGAAGTGGTATTAACTCCTGAAGACACCGACCGTTGAATTGAGCCGTGTTTGTAGGTCCCACAAATGCCCTGGTACGGCCGAGATTAGGAGAGTCAGCTCTCCCTCACGAAATGCTCTCACATAGCCACGTGCATATAACCACTACCAGGGAGGTCTTACTCACTGCCTTTTCGCGGCGAAGATGTTGTTTACAAAATTGAGAGGACGAAAAGCAAATATCCGGCACTTCAACCGGGTTAGTGAATATGGAGGATCCACCTAAGGGGGTTGGAAAACCCTGATTCCAAACCAATGGTGTACATAGACTGTACGTTGTTCCACTGCCTTGTGGATTAGACCTTTAGGTCGAAGGCTCTGGGTGTGGCCCCCTAAGAAAACCACCCGGACAGTATCACGGTCCACACACAAATCAAGTGACTTGTTTGGCGCATATATATTCGATCCCCCTTTTTACCAATACTTATGTGTTCAAATGATTATAAAATCCGTACGAGTGTATTTATTGTTCCATTCTTTTAATACTGTATATTGGTTATGAAGGAATATACTAGTATTATTCATTTTATTCTATTCTAATATATAGGTTTCCAGAAAATCTTCAACATTCTTTGAAGCTATTCAGTGTCATGATGTGATACGTGAAGATTTAAGTCAAGCTATTCGTCAAATTAAAGATTTTCGGTTAGTTTATGCAATACATTTCATATCAATGTAAATACTAAAAACAGATAGCACAATAGTTTCAGAATAAGTTTATTGAAATTATGCAGATCTATAGAACATGATAACATTCGGGTAAAATAAATAAGGGCATAAAAACCTTAATTTTACTAATGAAATCAATAATAATAATCCTTGAAAAATTTCACTCAGTTGGTTCCTTTACTCTCACAGCCATCTGTTCCCCTTCTATCTTCTGCTCCATAGATCTTTTACCCTCAACTGATTTCTGTTTTTATTATCCTACCAACTACAGTTCAGCACAATTTCAACATTTTATCTGATCACGCTGAACCTTTCCTTTCCAGTTATAATTCTTTATTTATCTTCACAATGAATATTGAAGCTCTCAACAATAACATTATTTTAAATAAAGTTAAAAAAACCCACTGAAACAGAATGAGATGAATTCAATAATACGTGGTTTCTCATCAGCTGCTTACAACTATATATGTATTGAACTATAACATTGAGGTATGATATAATGTGATAAAATTGACATTGATAACGGAATGAATTATAAGAACAAGGTTTGTCAACAACGATTATATATATCTGTCTAGGATTAGGTATGAGGTCATTTGGACAGTTCGAAAAGTATAAGAGGGCGACAGGTGACACAGTAGTGAAGTCCGAAAATACAGAAGATCCTATCTAGTGTGATAATTATAGAGGTTGTGAAGTGTTTGCTTAAGATGACTGGAATTAGAAATTGATAATTGAAGAGGATTTAAAGAGAGATAAACAAATGAAGGGATGATTTTGGTGTGCATGAAAAAAGAATTAGTTTAGCCAAGACCATATAATAAAATAAACACTAATAAGATAATCCTAATAATGACAATAACAAAAAATAATAATTTACTACTTCAGCAAACCAGAGAAATGCTGTTTTTTTTGCTAATAATTTTGAAGGATTGTGCAATGTCAATAGTATGTCTGGTATCAATTAAATGCCGAGCTATTCCGCTGTTTGGAACGTTCTTGGAAATGCGAACGTGTACTCTCCTCTCTGCTTTTACAATATATGTGTTTTGACAAGCACATGTAAATTGGTAAATGCACTTGGAGGTAGTAGGAAAATAGGGTCTGTCAATTTGTGTTAGAGTGAGAAGTTCATTTCGCAAAACGTTTTCAGTTTGTTGATGGATAAGTAATCTTCATCGTGACATTTATTCTGTGATTAGTTATTCCATCGGCCGTTTTTTCTTAAGGAATCCTTGTGAAGAGAAATTCTTTTGGAAAAAACAGTCGATATTAAATGAGAATATCTTGAACTCCTTCCTTTACCAATTACTGAATTCAAACAGCCTTTGTTCATGTGTATCAAAAATATACCGTTTCAACTCAACAATGTGTTGTACTGGCAAATCTTTGTCAGCAACTTGTGTATACGTCAGTCAACTCGAATGTGGTATGGCAACTCGAACTGATGTACGTACGTACTAAGTTCAACGTTGTTACTGACTGACTGTATACGTCAGTCGATATTCAGATAATTTGGTGAGATTCAACACATGCTTATCAATAAATATTGTACAAATTAACTTCAATTAGATCCAATTGTATGGGAACTCGAAAGTTACGACCGTTAGATGACGATTAACGTAATGTTTTACTGACATGGTGTCTATCTATAGCTTATTTTCATATTTTTTCTTTTGTGGAGAATGTTTTTGATGAATAACTGATCTACAAGCTATTTTTCATGCATTTGTCTTCAAATTCTAGACGTAAATTGCATCAAATTAATACATTGACTATAATTGACAAGATGAAATTGTTACGTGTTGTTAGAAGACGAGAAAACTATCGACTGGTTGTTAATAAGGTAAGTTATTCCTTTTTGGTTTCAGAATGTCGTCAGGTAGTGTTGTTTAGAGAAGATTAAATATTAATAAAACAGTTAACTCAAGGTATATTGCTAACTGCTGAAGCCTCATATAGTTATTTTAAATTATGAATAACAGACATTAGTTACTTCGTGGCCAGAGACTTCTAGGTGATGTAATTTGGTGTTGACAATGGCGATTCAAAAATCGTTCTAGAAAATCGATTATCATATCTTAGTATTATATTGGTGTTTAAATAAAGCTAGAACGAATATGAATGCAGAATAATGCGAATTGATTATATTTAGTGGTTTCTCATCTGCTGCTTACAACCAAATATGTATTAAAATTTTACATTGAGGTAAGATATAGTGTGAAACAATTGACATAAGTGAATGTAAAGAATTGCAATGATAAAGGTTATCGATAATATAATATATATATGCAAGAACAGGTCGGTGATCATTTGATGTTAGAATCAAGAAACATGAGGAGTGGGTGATGTGAGTAATTGAGTGAAATTCAGAGACAGACAACATAAATTGTATGATAATTTTAAAGATAATGAAGGGTTTGCAGAAGATTCCTAGAATTAAAAAAAACGTGTAATATGGGTTGCGTAGTAATTAAACAAGATTTGATGAGTTCACATAATTTAAGAGAATTGAGTGAGTGGAAATGTATAAGTGAAGGCGTGGTTTAAGATTTCGGTAATGGAAGAGAAATATAACAAACTAAACATTAATAAAATAAAACTAATGACCAAAAAATTGGATTAATAGAGTAACAATAGGTTTATTGCTGTGTCTTTTTGAATACATGGATCAGGTTTGACTTTTTTTTATCGCGATAGCTTCAGCGAACCGAACAGAAATAGTATTTATTTGTCTGCTAATAATTTTGAAAGCTTGAGGAATGTCAATAGCTCCAACTACATTTACCAATTTACATGTACGTGCCAAAGCACATACATTGGAAGAACCGAGAGAAGAGTAAATGTTCGCATTTTCGAGCATGTTCCAAAAAAATCGAGACTGTGAGGGGCAATGGCTCTTAACAGTGCAATAACTCGACATTTACTTGACACAGGACATACCATTCACATTCCTCATGCTTTTAAAATTATTAATATTATCAATTGTTTCACACTATATTTTACCTCAATGTAAAATTTTAATACATATTTGGTTGTAAGCAACAGATGAGAAACCACTAAATATAATCAATTCGTATTATTCTGTATTCATGTTTGTTCTGGTGGCTTTATTTAAATTAATAAAGGTAACTATTTGCATGAAATTACATTGGTGTAATGTTTTTTTTTAAATAACAATCCACTTTCCTGTATTTCTGTGTTAATAGTCCACGTTCTTTGCTCTATTCACTTAAGTAGTGAAAAACTAAATTACTAATGATTAACAAACCAATTCAAAGACAGGATGAATAAAGTGACATATTTTCAAAAGTATTAATAAACAAGTAGAAAGATTGTAATAATATATTTGAAGGATCGTTAACAATAGAATTGATTCAACTCATTACTTTGATTCTTTCATTTACTTTTTAAAAATAAGATTGTTTTCTTTAGGACAAGAAGTATGATATTAATTTATGTCAGTTTATAACCATCATTATTGCTTTGTTATTTTGTTTAATTATGTATTGACTGTAATTACACTCTCAACATGTTTATATTTTCTACTATTTGAATGTTTATTGATTTAATTATGACTATTTCTAGTGTTAAAATTAATTATGTTGTGAAGATTTATGGTTCTGTAATTGTAAAAATATCCCATTTTCTACTGGCTTGCCTTACATACTCATTGTGAATAAATTGTGACGTTACTAAAGAGTGAATGTTAAAATAAACCTTCTCTTTTTGTAAAAAAAACCGTGTTTGACATTAGTTTCTGAATTTAACCGTCCAAGTTAATCTGTCAGTTCAAAACTACTGTAGTAATTTTACAATCATCTTGAAGAAATAAAATCGAGGGTGAAAAATCTACAGGAGAATTGTAATTCAATCTGTAATAGTTTGAGTTAACCTGTGGTTTTTATTTCGGCTGAATTAAGATCAGTTCAAGTTAACATGTGTACATCCTGTGCGGATTACTTCGATATAAATATTGTGTCTCGCGCTTTTATTGAACAGAAGGAATTTGTTTGGCAGTATAGCCCAGGAAGCTCGTTTCGAATCATATGGGGCTCGTCAGTCGTATATATCGCCACCCCAGAGTTCATGTTCACTCTGGGACGCGAAGCTAGTGCCTTTCCCCTTAAACGCCCAAAGATTTATTCACTTAGCTATTCTAAAAAGGAAAACTAGTTACATGAAGGTTATTTATTGAAAATTTGGTCTTAAATGAGGATTTAATATTGAATCATAGAGCATTTAGATTCAACACAACTTCCGATCTTTGCTTCCTTAGAAAACTTTCTCATTTCAATCATACTACTTGCAAGTAGCTTGTTTGAAGTAACAAAACTATATTTCTTTTAAAAATTGGTTTGTTAAGATTTATGAGTCTGCTCGTAGTCAATTTATAAAACATTTTCGTCATCAGATACATCCTTCTTGTTATTGTAATATAGCATTAATCAGTTCATACAATTTTATTCCATAGTTAAAATTAATCGCGAGTCTTCAAGCTACACAACCTACTATTCAAACTCTATTGAGAAATAATGATTTTTGTGCTGCCCTGGATTTAGTGAGCACTACAAAAGAATTATTACATTCACATTTGATGGTGAACTCAACTTCCAGTGATTTATCATCAGATAATGTGATGGACCAGCCTAGTAATAGAAATTTAACATCTAGGTTGAAGAAGAATTCAACTACATTTCTTTGTCTACGTGATTTTGATGCTCAACTAAGTGGCATTTCCAATTTCGTGCATAAAATGGTCGAATCAGAATTTGACATTTCATTGTGTCGATTTTTGGATCCACCCATTAAAGAATATGGTGGATTCCATGACCCAGATGTATGTTTGACGTTCTTTTACCAAGTTGTAATATTTAATTAAGTACATATTTTTTTGAAAAGCTATTAGTTCCACACGAATTCATCAAATCTTCACGATTTTTCTTGACAATTTTTGATTACTCTGTGTAGTTTTTAATTTAGATAATGGTCCACAATGAATTCCGAATGAATTCAACTCATTTATTAAGTACAAGTTTACATCCATCTTTTAAGTACACATTTTCTGTATGGTTGCTTATGATACCTAGGCATCGATATTGAAGTAGTCGGGGCAGGGTTCAAACGTACTGCCTAATGGCTCATGCATGATTGCTCCAACCACAAATCGTCCCAAAGAGTAAATACTAGTTTCTTGATAAATCAGTGTCATTTATTGGTATAAATAATTCACATTATTTACATTTGTTTGTAAATCTCAAAACAGTTGTTATTAGATACTTTAGTGTTATCAACCAATTGCCCTAACGAGTTGGTGTCTGATGAAATCTATGCACGGATTCACAAAGTTCGTTTGGCTTTTGCCAACTTACATCACCTATGACGAAGCTGAGATATCCATCTATAAATATTAATCACGAGTATACGGCGCGGCGATTCGTTCTGTTTTACTTTACGGCTGCAAAACGGGGACATTAAGAGTAGAAGACACTCGTACGTTACTAGTATTTGATCACAGATGTCTTAGAAATATTGCTCACATGTTCTGGGATAACCATTTAAGTAATAGTGAAGTTAGACGCAGGTTATTGGGGAATGATGGTAAATCAGTTGATGAGGTTGTGTATCTACATTGACTGAGATGGTTGGGCCATGTATTACACATGCCCAAACACCGACTACCACGACGCGTAATGCTGACTAGTATTGGAGACGGATGGAAGAAAGTTAGGGGCGACCAAACTAAAACACGGCATCGGTTCATAAAGTCACTAACTTCTAGTCTGAGCCATGTCGTTAGATGCGGACTACTTGGTTAAGGTCCGTGCGACTTTATTTCCAGAACTATCTGTTCGTACTCTGAATAATTTTTCTGTCTGTTCGTATAATTACTTACTAATGAAAACATGAACTTTTTCCAAAATAATTAGTGTAAAACGCAAACATATCAAAATTTGTTACAACCATTGGAAACAGAACTTCATACTCTAATGGCTGAAAGATTTTAATCGTCCTAGGTGTTTGCCGAAATTTGAGGTTGAAAATTAGATCCGTCATTTAATAAACTATTATTCTAATTATTTACTTGATGTCAAAACCTCTCTTCATTTAGATGAGATTTCATAAGTTTGGCTAGTAGTACCTTGTTGGTGACTGTTTTGTGCAACATTTTTATTTCAGTTGGTCAGGTACATGATTTGTTTTAGTAGCGTATTGAGATGTACCGGAACTCCACTAGTTAGCTTTATGTACAGACATGCTCTAATTATATTTTAATTTGTCATCAAGTTGGGTTATTCAGAATGAGGCAGTTTGTGTTCTACATTCCTAGAGATGTTTGATGGTAATTAATTTCTGTAACGTTTAAGCTTCTGTGTTTTGTTGGATAACCTTCGATAATGTACTGAGTAAAAGTAGATTGTTATTTGTCATTGTTCTTTATTTGCCTCAATATATTGAGTTTATCGTCCTTATACTTATTTTTTATTCCTAAAATTTGATTACCATCTACTTAATGGTAATTTCTTTATTCTTTCAATTTATTCAACTAAGGTATACAGTCGTAGAATTTAATGCACATATTCCTAAACCAGCAACTGAATAACATTTATGAATCTCGAATTCATAATTATTGAACACTTTTGTCGAAATCCAAAGAAATCTTAAGAATTCACAAACCTCTACTCATAAAATTTTTAAACGTTGACAGCACTGTCAAAAACACGATCGAAAATAAAGTAAATTTTCAACGAAGTAAATGTAATAAAAAAATACAGTATTTTAGTAATGTCACTCATTTACATAATGTAAGCCTCATAAATGAATAAATATAAATCAAACCGCTTATTAGTATGGCATGATACTGAAAGGAAGCGAGGTTGGTTAAAAGCTAACAAATAAACGGGTTTACTAATGTTTGATCGTATTCATTTCAGTTTATCTCATGTCTTTCGTCTGGTAATTAGAAATACAATGATGCTTAGTTTATATCAAACCACCTAAGTAATAACTTTTTTTCAAAGACAACTTTTTTACGCTGAGTCATCACTTTTAAATAGTTTAAATCATGAACGAATCTTCACTAGACCACCATTAAAATTCAGGAAACACTTGACAGCTGTTTCGTCCCAGTATAGGAGTCATTAGTGTGCACTCCTTTCACCTTTAAATCTTCAGCATCATTGTTACATTATTTAGTAGTCATTTCTCTTCATTCTAGATTGTGTTTGTGTATAATGATTGGTTATCTATTACTGTTTGATCTTTCACCTTGACATACCTACTTACAGATTTTATCCTGTTTCCTTGGTTTAATACGAATTAATCGGTTGGATTTTGTGAGTGGTTTTCATGCAGAAATGCTCAAAAGAGTTAAAGATATATTCTGTCAACATATCACTTCAGTCACACGACCTCCAGGAAACGATAGTGTTACAGAGTAAGTTATTACCTTCTTTTCTTGTTTCCTTCGATATCATAAAGCAAATAAAATCCTAAGTATTTTATTTTACATGGATCAATACTTGTTTAGATTGAGGAAATTAGTATTTTAGGATGTTTGTATACCTTCCCATAATCTCATTAAGGTAGGTATCTTTTATGCACTTATGAAATTCCAGCCTTATTGAAATTAATAACACTTATTGAGATTGGTACTCAAATTGAATTATTTTCACTTATTTTTACCAAGTCATTAACAATGCTTATTACCAAATTAGTATTCTGGCATATTAAACAGAAAATCATTCATCTTAAATATATTATTCGTCTGCTCGTTCCCCTGTGGTACTCGTTTTAATTTCGAGTATGTGTTAAACTGAACTTGAAATTTATTGTTTAACAGATTCATTGTTAGATACCATATATTTTAAGCAAAATGATTGAATGTAACACCAAATTTCTTGGTTTATGACAAATTATTCTTTTATAATTTTTTTCCCTTTTTAATCAGTTCTTCTACAACAACAGGACCTAATACAACTAAATTATCTACTTCTGATCAACTGCGTAATATGCCATGTGAAAATTGGATGACGTTTTTAGTTAATCTATGCAATGACATAAAATATTTACTAATTCGTGGACAGGTGAGTGGTTAATTCACATATATTTTGCTATAATGATTGCATAATTTTCTTGAACTTGTAGACTAATTATGCGAGTAAATTGCCAAAATGGTATATCAGTTTGCTGAAATCTCTACTCGAATTTTGTTGATCAAGTCAAAGCTTATGGAAACTCGTCATTTTAAACTGGCTACTTCACATTGCATTCGTCAACGTTGCTCGGTTTTGTTTAGTTTTGGCATAGACATATTTGTAGAAGCTAAACATCGCCTATATCAATTTAGAGTACATAGATGGTATATGTATCATCAGCAAACAGATTCATAAAATAGATAATCCTTTAAATGCCTTTGCAATATGTTTCTGTTTCTAGGTTACTCATGACTGACCACCATGTACCTTTATTATGTATATTTGAAATAAGCTGGGTAGTGCAGAATTCCTTGCTAAAGTTTCGTGAAGTAGAAAAACCACTGGAACTACTTAATGATGATCAAAGATAATATCCAACATAAAATCAACCAAAATGTCATGTTTATTTCCTTCAAACACTGATAATCTCTATTCAATACATAACCACTAGCGTTCTTTTATTTTTTTATCTCTCATTCTGATTTTCTTTCTTTTGAAATTCTAATAATTTTACTTAGTAAAATTAGTTTTCGTTATTAACCACCAGCAACTACTTTGTATCATGAAATAATTATAAACGTAAAAATAATTTATCACTATTATAATAGACGCTACACACAAGATTGCTTTTAGACAGTAGGTAGTGAGCGTGGTCTCAAAGTTGTCACAGTCGTTGGATGGAGTGAAGAGTTTATGTATATCGAAAGCACGGCGTAGGTAGAACACTTGATGATCAGACGATAATATATTTCAGATTGCACAGTACACTGGTAGATACAAACGGGTGATCGAATGTTTTGTAATTTCTCTTAGTTAACAATCTTTCTGACTATTGTCTTGTTCTATACTATAAAGTGTTCAAACCTCACATGTGAAAAATTAACAACAAAAGTTGAATAAGAGTAAGTTATGGTTATAACGACAATTCAATGTATTCAGTAAATAATTTAATAAAAATAATTGAAGATATCTCTAAGTAATTATTTTATTAGATTATGTAATTAGTACTGTTTTTGACCCATAGAACTTAAGCTTTTCATATTGTCTAATACTTTTTATGTTAGACAAAATATCAAGTTATTTCATTTATATTGTTCTTGACTAGAATTCATTAATTTTTTATTTTCATTTTAAATTAGGATGTTGTGGATATATTCGAAAATAACCTCTGTTCTAATCATCAGTCAAATGAAACTGTTGAAAATAGTACTGTTATTTCGTCTACTCATCAACCTTTCACTACAATTAGTGTGCATAAAGCCAAAGAACTTGCTAAATGTATGCATAAAACTTTGTGGAATACAGCTAATATATCCCAGAAACGTTTATGTTCAATTGTTTCATCTCGATTTCGTCTTGGCTCTATTCAATTAATGGAACCAAAGTTGACGACATCAACATCATTGTCTTCAACTGTTGATTTATCAGTGAATTCACCAAATCTACAACAAAGACATTTGTCTACAACTTCAATAATGGATATTCCATGTACAACAGTGTTTAGTGAATATGTATTTGATAAATTTACTTGGAGTAATTTTAGAGAATTAGTCAAAGTACTGAGTATTTTCCAGGTATGTTTTATTTTTGTCTCTTCATACAGAAACAAAAGTAATATATCGAAACGGTAATTTATGCGACAGCATACTTTTTTGCAATTATATCGACTGATATTTTCCACTTTACGTTTCCTATAGTATCTCTTACAAAATATTGTAAGAATTGTAAGTTTGTTGGTCATGCTAGATCCTCAAAAATCACTTGATAAACGTCTCATTTTTGTAATTTTATTTTTGAAATTTGAATTTCTCGTTTTCGCACCAGAAGCGACAACTTTCACCTTCAGTTTGTATTTTCCACTTTGAAAGACCTTAAGTGTCACTGTTTCTTTTCCTCTCCTAATGTGTCATTTTGTGACATTTTCCAAGGACATTTTTGTACTGCATATATACGCTTGAGTTGTGTGCTTGTTCATTCGTGCTTCTGACTGCTTGTTGAATAATACTTTTTCCTCATCCGAATCTGGTCTTCTGCCACTAGTTAGCAGGACTGGGGCTCAGTGAAGTAGTTTAGCTTTTTTCTGTTGTCATGTTGCTGACTTTCGTTTCATTTTCCGGTTTAGGTGATTCGTAATCTCTTCAAACGTAGCAAATATTGCCAATGTTATAACAATAAACGCTTTAATGGCAAACATCCATATCTATAATTCTTTTGATTCTTATATCTTGACTTGATTCCGATTTCTTTCTCGAAACAAATTGTTCAGTGTGAAATATTTGAAACACTTGAATTAATGAATGTAGTATCCTAAGATGTTCCGGCTGATGTTATAATCATGTACTAGCAGAAGTTATTGGAATCACATTCTATTCATCATTACTTCTTCAAATAGGATATGAAATACCATCTGAAACAGGAGCAGGTTTAGAGAACCTCGAAGTGTGTCTACATGTTAATGAAGCCACGATCTGTTGGTCTCTGCTTTGTAAGTAGTATTGGCTTGTTTTCTGACTATGCGACCTTTGAAAATTTACGAATAAAGATATGAGAACTTAAGTTTATATGGCTCAAAATAATGCAAGGATAAACTCTTCTTTCATTTTTTCTCCCAAGTATTTAACAACTTCCATTGGCCTACTTTTTGTCCGTTCACTGTTGTCTCCTAGTTTATTTTATTCTCTTATGTGGTATTCCAAAATATGATAGACTGGAAGTGATTCACTTTTGCCTTTTACGATTGTCTGTTTAATGTAGGTTGTTGGTTCAGATTAGTTTCATACTTAATTCCATAAGTATTTGTTGTCATTTTATTCAATATTGGTGAATCAGAGTTTTCGTACGCTTGCTGATCTGTACCAGTTTACTAGTGTTGGATCATCAAAAAGCTTTATATCTGACAAAGTGGATTATTTAAAAGTGGTTCTTTTTTCTATTATTGTTGCGTTTGATATGATAAAAGGTATTAAATATCTTTCTTAATACCGAAAAGTGTGTCAACATATCGTTAATTGTGATCAATGTAACTAATTAATCAAGTACTGCCCTATGCATTTTGCTGTTAGCCGCAATGTTTTTGTTAGAGGTTTTGATACTACTCAATTTCCCGAACCGGAGTAGGTGAACCAGTGTCATTAAACATAAGCAGTGAAGTTTCTATGTATTTATTTTACTGAACAAGAAGATTGGGAGTTCTTATTATTATCTGAATGAAAAGTGTTATATAAACTAATTTATGAAATACTTCAACATGTTCAAGTCAATGTTACAACCTTTTTGTTATTCTTGGTGAACACTCAAAATGAAAATAATTAATCCAACCTATTAGGATTAAATTAACTGCAAAATGAGTGTTTTTGCATAATGTAGTGTTACTGTGAACCACTCATATAAATCCGGTGTTCATTTTGCTGTGCTAATGAGGTATGGCAACTTGGACCGATGCACATATGTGCTTGGTCGTACGTTGTAGCTGACTGACTGACTGACCATGAATCTGTTAATTAAATAAATCATTGGGTTGACTTTTATTCAATCAATAATTGAAATAGATAACTAAATATATTTAAGCTTTAAACCTGAATTGGGAAATTCTAACAATATATGTAAGTTAATAGCCAACAGATTAAATCATGCTTAAAGGAATAAAATAAACCAAACAAGAGCATAATTATGGTCGGTTTTAAATAATAACTAGGTAGTTAAGTAAATCACCTTAATGTTGAAATACCAACCTTCTTGTCAAATATTAACGGGTATTAATGAATGATCTAACAGTATACCACATAAATATGAATACTGTTATTATTCTTTGGTTCTTTTCTTTATTGTTCATTATAAGGTATATGTTCTTCGAGCATGGTTGAAATTTTCTGATATTCCAATTAAAACAATAATTTGTCATCAATCGAATGATTCAGAAAATTGTTTACAACCAAATGTACATTCTTTTAATAAGTCAAAGTCTTGTGTTAAAAAATCAACGATTCCTTTAAATCAAAAAACTTCAAATGATGTTATCCCCTCTTCCATTATTAGTTCTAACACTAATGATTGTATATCTAATAACCAATACATATTTAATATTCAATCCGATTTAATTTTACGTGATCTTGTACTTGATATGATTATACTTATAATTGACCGATTTCATCGTGAAAATTATGATAAAATAAATATGTTATTGGATCAAGAAAGATGGCAAGCAGCTATTTGTCCAGAACAAGTTCAACAAATGATTAATGATATATCCATAGAAGTAGGACATTGTAAAATGAAGGTAATTTAATACAATAATTAATATATTTTTTTTGTTTCTTAGTTAAAGTACTTTAGCATACATCATATAAGACAAATTAAATTAGTGATGCAAATTTTCTGGTTACCTAACAATTTAATTCTATTTTATTATTGATTTGTTAAATTGTTATTTGGATACTATCAAAGTGTGTAATAACTACCAACTCATTAATATGGTTTGTTTATTTGAAAGAAAAAAAACATCAGTAGGAGAATGACTGTTTAATGGTAAAACCTACTGCATTGCTGGTTTGAAACCTTATTAGTCTTGTTTTCCAGTTTAGACAACTGGTTAGTATTACATTTAAAAGTATATGAATTACTGCTTAGTAATTAAGATACGCTAATTTTATTGTTGTATGGAAAAATTTATTTTGGTTCTTTTTTCTGTGCAAAATATTAGCAGTTGGATTATGCACCATGTATCGCTTTATTGCTTTACGTATACAAAGTGTTTACTTTACTGTTTACCTTCATGATTGATTAGTCAACATTATTATCTTTAAACGATTTATTCACCAGTTTACATTTACTTCACTTATTCTGTTTGTTATGATTTCTCATTTCAATCAGTCAGCTACAACGTAGGACCAAGCACACATATGTATCGGTCCAAGTTGCCACACCTTATGAGCACAACAAGATGAACACCAAATTCATAAAAGTAGTCACTTCAACGGTAGTAATGTATAAAGGAAAGATCGTCTATAAGGATATAGTGCAGGAAGAAAGAATTAGTTCGTAGAAAAAAGATATAAATCAGTTTTAATCTCATAGTTTAACGGGAGAAAGTGTATATATCTATGGCGTTGTGGTCGATTCTGAACCATGTCACTCAGAGTCTCCACGGTGTGGGCAACCGGGAAGTGATAACCGCCCTCATACTTCTAACAGCACTTATGATATAGTAAAGACGATATTCGGGATTGAATGGAAAAGCTCTTCCTATGAAAACTCAATTTTAGGGAATGAGAGAACTACAGGAAAATTTGATCTTATAAACGTGCCCAATATTTAGTTACAATCTCGTATTATTCAGGTCTTATCCTTTGAAATACTGCTAAACTTGTGCGTACACGTACATATAAAATTAATTTGACTTCTCTTTATATTTTTATTGTGTGAAAATACTATTTCATGATAAGCTATATATATTAGGCATTTTGAAGAAAAGATGGACATGTAAGGATATAATTTATGGAAATTATTCGTTTACTGCATGAAAAATAAATTGTTTTTTTCATCTTTCGAATAAGTCGATATTGTTAGGTTTACTGAAACATCTCACCTGAGGTGGACTGTAATTAGAAGAATCTCTTGATTTGTTAGGATATTTGTTTACAGAAGTACATAAACGATAAGTGGTCCTAAAACAACTAGAAATCACTAGTACAGGGAATGTGGAGATTATTGAATGTTAGTGAGATTACGGACCAACCAAAGCTGTATAATTGTCAACCTGTTCAGTGTTTCCAGGTTTAAAATGAGTGTCTAACTTAGTTCGATTTGTTTTCTCAGTATAAGATAGTTAGTGTACGTTAAACGTAAATTAAATTTAATGAATTCAATGACAATGGCCCCCAAATGCCCTGGTACGGCCGAGAGTGGAGAGAGTCCGCTCTCCCTCTCAAAATGCTCTCACACGGCCTCGCGTATATAGCCTCTGCCAGGGAAGTCCTACTCACTGCCTTCTCGTGGCGAGGGTGTTGTTTACGAAAATGAGAGGACGAAAAGCGAATGTCCGGCGCTTTTACCGGATTCCAAACCAATGGTGCACATGGGCTCCAGTATCCTGCGGGAACAAATGGCGTATGAACCAATTGTTGGTTACCGGCTTCCATGGGTCTGCATCTCCTTACGATGCTCCACTGCCTTGTGGATCAGACCTTCAGGTCGAAGGCTCGTAGTGTGGCCCCCTAAGAAAACCACCTGCTTCGGTCTGGGCACCCGGGCAGTATTACAGCCCTCACACATATCAAGTGAGATTTGTGTGGTGCATATGTATTTGGTGCCTCTTTGTACCAATATCTATGTGTTGAAATAAATAAATAAAAATCTCAACACCTACAGGCACAAAACCGATCGTTTCAATATGACTACTGAAAGAAACCGACCAATAAAATCCAAGAATAAACTCAGGTTACTCATAAGTAATATAGTTGTAAAAACAAATTTCACAAGTGTAGCTATAAGCTTACATTCGTACCACATTGTTATATATATACAGTTCAATGTAATCATATTCATCAAAATCTAAACTTGACCGATTGAGCAATCGAAACGCTGTGTGGATGATTTGGATTTTATTGACGTAAGGAATATTTACGATGAATAGAATGCATTTTAATCATTTCGTTCACTTTATTAATCTGTTTGTGCATCCGAGGTTGTCAGAGTCACAAATGGTATGAAGTCTCCTCATTCAGCAACAGTCAGTTTGACTTGCAATCCGTTATCATATTTTTAAAGTCCTCAAATGAGAGATAATATTGAAATAAATTCGTTAAAAAAAGAATTATGATTTCGGTTCGAAAGCAATTGCCATCACGCACAGACATCAATTCGAAAAACCATTTAGTGTTGAACAGCTATTTTATCCTCAGTTGTTCAGTGCTTCTAGATCTTCAGTGGTTCTTCATCCGTTATCGATTTCCAGTGCAAATAACATATGAATTGTACAAAATCGTCCCAGAATAATAAAAATTTCAATTAATGACGCAAATACGTTTGGTTGAAAATAAGCATACGTATAATATCATTTGAGCTGCCTGATTTATTCTTTAAAATGTATCCTAACGTAATATACCTATGTATCTATCTATATAATAATTTTTCGAATTCTTTTCAATGTCACTTTTCAAGTTCTTTCTTTCCAACAAGTTGTTTTCATTAACATTTCTGTTACATCTTAGAGTTCACATCTGACCAACGAACATTCTCCTTGTACACCGAATCATAATAATTTGATTCAGTCAACAGATAGTGTGATCTCTACACCCAATTATATTTTTCTACAAAATGAAGAGTATACTGTAGTTCGTACAGTTATACTGTTGTTACCGATGATTAATGATTATGTAAAATTAGATGAAAAATTACCTGGTCAACCGTTAACTACTGAATTCGTTTCAGATCGTTTAGCCGATTTACTTAATGTAAGTGTTTTCATTTTCATTCCACACAAAATTTTCTAACTTATTTGAGAAGATTATTAGTAATAATACCATTACTATTGCTGTTAATATTACTATTATTACTGTGTGAATGTGTGTAGTGAGTAGATGAACAATTTCCACTGTAATCTTAGATTTTTGAGTGGTTTCAATCAATCAATCTACGAAATGCTTCTATTCATTTGATTAAGTTGTTAAATATAGTAGTTTCTTATTATCAAATGTACTGCTTTGTATTATTTATATCAGACTTCGGTTTTTCCGTGAACTATCTTTTTTTGATAGAGCATTTTCATGATTTATAGTGTCAATCTTAACATAAAATATATTGAATCAAATTATCATCATCGTGCAATACGTGTTAACAATTTTCACCATATCCTAGTGTTTAGAACATCTTGATTTGAAGTACTAAATTTCAGGTTCGAACTATAATCATTGTTTATTTGGTTTTTAGTCACTGTGTAACCTTTTTAAACAGAAAGTCTATATTAGTACCGTGTAAAAGAAGTCTCTTAGGATATCAATAATGCTTGTGGATAAACATCAGTTATCTATGAAATAAGTTGTGCAATTGTATTTGCGTGTGGTCAAGCTAACGAGTTTTCCAATATTTTCGCTTAATCAATTCAAGTAGAATTTTTCGTCATAAGTAGACAACCACTTTGTAAACTTAACAGATTCGCATACTGATAGATAATTTAATTCAAGTCCAATTTCCTGAAGAAGCGTTTCATTTATTTAGTATAGTTAAGCCATTTAGAAACATGAGTGTTGTTAGATTGTAAATTAATATCTTCTAACTCCGATTATAAGTAACCCTGGTTAACTTCGTATCTTCACCTAGTTCAAATACCGTTATGTAATTTCATTTGTTTTATTAAAATTAATTTATTAGTTGTGTATTGCTTAAAGAGACTATACGTATGACAATCAGGCCAGCAAAGAGAAAAGATTGTAAATAAATATGTGAGCGTATATACGAGTTGCGAATTATTGACTGATCAGTACATTTGTAATTAATAAGATAGATAATGAACATTCACACCCTTACATACACATAGGAATCTCCACATAGCTGATCAATCGTCTGAGTTATGGTGAAGTAATTAATGTTAATAGAATGATATGTCTATTTGATACACTTTATATCTGTCTATAGCAAGACTGATTGTATGTGTATGTGATGAAAATAGGTTAACGACAAGATAAATCGATGTTTTTCTGACATACTTATTCCTATCATCTACTGCGTTTTTGGGACTATGAGCAATTGGACAATACGAGAAAAGTGTTGTAGTAGTTTTTCTCGTTATTTCTAAATTTGTAGCGCAACATTCAAAATGTTTGTATGTATGTAGTGAACTTGAACTCAAATGAGGAAAATCAATTTATTATTCAATGCAGAATTACACAGTGCCCCAGTATGAGAATCATACATTAAATACATTATGTGCACATCTCTGAGTTATCCTCCACATACTCTATTATTCCTTTCATTCTGTTGTTGTTTCGATTGCTCTCCGATTTCCTGATAAATAGTAGTAAGCAAAGTACCTGTCTGTCATCGCACTGTGTCGAATTACAACTTAGTTTCACTGACTACACATTTTCTATACATTTATTTGATTTGACTACCTTTTTGCTTTATTTGCTTACTTGTTGTAGCATTTCAATTCCCGTGTTTGTCAACTTGTACTTGGTGCTGAGGCATGTAAACGGGTCGATCTACAACGCATATCTGCTAAAAATCTTGCCTTGACCCTGCGTAGTCTACAATTGGTTGTGCAATTTTTACCATGTATACAATTCTTGTTAAACAGGTAAATTACTGTTGAGTCTTTAAAAGAGATAAATTACTATACTGACATTCGTTCTTCTGTAGTTTCCTTCCGTTGTATGTTCCCAATATTATTAAGGAAATTTTCCACAAAGTAGCGATCTGACATATGGAAGAAATTTCGAAAGGTTTTTGAGGTTAAGTTGGTCCAAATGGAAAAATTGTAGGTAATCATAACTTTCGCTTAATGAAAGCTTTTTAGATTTAGTGTGACTTACAAGGTTACAAAATCTCTGTAACCCCGGTTTTGTAGCTCGAATGACCAAATGGTATGAGAACTGAAATTCATGTACAACGTAAACTGCAAAACTTGCGAAAAGTATTATATGGGATAAGATAACCATCGTTCATGTAAAGTCATCATTAATTGTTAGATAATGATAAAATAATGAAGATGATACTAGTTTTGAAGGTCTAATATACCAGTACATTCGGCAATCTATATACCTAATCTCTCAATAGAAAAAAAATCAACAACCAACTCAGTGTTTTGCTATCAGGACAGAAAAACATACACGAGAAATAGGTAAAGAATCAGCCACACACCTCAAGGTAATAAGCATAGGTTTTATTCATTTCCAGATACTTTAAAATTGCTTGATTTTTCTAGGGTTTGTGATTGTGAGCTTTTTTCATACCATATATTACTGAATAAACACAATGACAATCTACCAATATTCCTGTTTTATTGAATTATTTATTCTCTACCCCGTCTAATTATCAATAGTTGAGCAGACAAACACTAGACATTTTTTGCTATTACTACTACTACTACTATCACCAGTGACAATACAGTTGAAAACAGGCAAGATATTTATAGAATCATTCAGTATTGATGTTAAAAGTCAATATAGAAAAAAGAGACATGGTAACCTATAAAAATCTTGTTTTCAGTTGTATTTAGTTAAATATTTTTTCACTGACAAACCATTATTCAACAATTTCATTCAGTTTAAATGATAAACAACTAATATAATTTATTACTTCCATTTATTGATTTTCATATGTGTTGCATAAAAGTTGCATATTTTCTTCTCATTCTTATTCCTTTCTATGTAGAATATCTAAAACGGATTTTAATAAATCATTATCAACTAGTGTCGATAACCTTCTTATTGCTTCATTATATCATTCTAACAGTCAGGGGATAAATCGAACAACATTAAATGGTCTAGATCATATTGAAAAACTATTTAAGTAAGTTTTAGTCTTACTTTGTGGTGTAATTCTCGTTATCAAATGTAAACTGTTAACAGAGTTATTACTTTGAATTCAACATGGTTAATGCTTCTACTGTTATGATACAAATACTTCAAATCATAAACCGTTTCCTGCACATTAACTATCAGCTAATTTCCAAAGTTTCTTTTCTTAAGTTTTCAATACATAAAATTTATTACAATAAATCTGTTCTTACAACTTATTAATTCGAAAGATTCAACATCAGATATAATCACCTTAAAATTTTTGTATGTATATCATAAATAATTCAATGAATTATCCAAAATTACTCTTTGGTTTAAAAAATTCTTCCCCCTCTAAGTCGCTAGATAAACTTGTATCCAATTTTCATTACATTCATAGTTATTAGGTTATGTGAACATGTTACTCAATATAAACAAGCTGAACTAGTCTCTGTCGGATTTACATGAATAACGCAAACCATTGTTTGAATGAGGCACATTGTAATTACATCAACCAAGAACAAAGTAGCAAATGTACAATCACCCCTTTAAATATGAACGAGAGTTGTGCAATTATTTATTTGCTTTTCATTGTTAATGTGGTCAGAATACATAAATCCTGTGCATCGTAGCCTATGTAATCATTATAACATCTTGTTTTACCAATTGAAGGGAAATATAGCCATATCGAGAAATTTGATCCAGGTCTTTGTAATAGCTGTTTTAGGATTAAATAGATTATCGGTGGATATACTATTATTCGGAGGTGTTGAATGTATGATTTTTCGACTCAGTTGTTTTTAGTTCATGGAATGATGAATTATGACATAAAAGTAGTTAAGTCATATGAAATATCAATTAATTTCCTTCTGGATGTATTATTTTCACTACAAAGTCGTATTAGCTCATGGATACTGTTGTCATCGCCTTTTAGAAGAAATTCCGTGATTTATATACCATATAAAGTTTTTGTTTATTGTTTCGTGAAATGAGATTTATCAGAAAAATGGTGTCAGTGTTGAATGTTGTAGCCTTCACCTTGTCTACTTATGCTCTGTGTAATCATTCATTGCATAATAAATCTTTATATATATTCTGTTCAATTATGGGGAAAATTTCGTACACAAGACATTAATGTATGATATTTTCATTTCATTCATATAGTGACATTTTCATTTCGTCTCTCTCATATCCATACGATGTTTTCACTGTTTTGTTTTATTTATTAGCCAAACAATATTAACTACTTAATGACCGTAGATTATTTTTAATTTTTTAAAATCCAAATATACCGTTCATCATCATGGGTGTAATTAGGGAAGTTTTATTTTTTGAGTAAAAAAATGTCCCTGTAACTGAAAAAAATTTCCTGTTCCAAGTTGTGACATTTTCAAATAGGACGCCTTTTTCTTCTTCACATTTTGTAGCTTATTATGCATGGATCCTGATTATCCCATCAGTTCGACCATATTAAGTGACTGTTTATTTCTTTAAAAATTCAGTATTTCTATAGTTTGTTTTTACTTACAAAAATGTATGATATAACGAAAAAAAATACAAAAATCTAGCTAGATTAATATTCTACTCTTCTGCTGGGGATGCTAGATCCCCAGAAATCACTTAGTAAACGTTTTATTGTTGCTTATTTAATTTTGGGAATTTAAATTTCTCGTTTTCGTGTTAAAAGCGCCCATTTTAAAACTCAGATTGTATTTTCCACTTGATTGAATACTAAATATCATTTGTTCGTTCCCTTTTTAATACGCTTGATTTATGTGCTTGTTCGTTTGTGCTTTCAACTGCTTGTGGAATACACCTTTTTCTTCATCTGAACCTGGACTTCTCCCTCTATTTATCGGGGTTGGGACCCATCGGAACAGTTTATCTTGCCGTTGTGTCGCTGATCGTTCGTTCCGTTCGCCGATTTTAAGTGATTTCGTAATCTCTTCAAAAATAGCAGTTTCTATGATTGTGACATAGGCCTCATACAAATGTCATTCCAGTTGATCAAATGAATTAATAATAAATTTTTAATGTCTAGAAAACTTACAGCTGATCTTATAAATGGTTCACTTTATATGATCAACTTTATGAAGTATTTGATCTCGGCAACTGTCATGATAATAATAACTTTTTAAGTCTTTAAAGTAGTCACTCTCTTTAATTTTCAATCTATAAATATAACTATTTTTGCACTACCTCACTGTTTAAACATTTAAAGTACAAAAGTCAAATATGATGGAAGAAAAGTCGAAATTCGATCGATTTATGAGTTTTGTTCAAGATTACTTCCGTTTTTATTGAATGTAATGATTACCTAATGTAGTATTTGTTTTCCTTTCTCGTATGATGTTTTATTCTGTATAATATGCGATATTCTTGTATTCTATTGACATGAACTATGCTCAGTATGTGATTTGTTATAAATAACTCTAAGTATTTTCCATATATGTGATTTCGTCCTAATTATTAATCAAAATGGGTGTACAACCAATCTATGAGTGCATTTTTGAGTAGGGTTGTTGTCGTTGTGTTTTGGGGTTAATCAATCATCACTTATACCAATCTTTGTGTTCTTACTATCGCGTCGTGGGATTTGCAGAGGTACATCGTTTTGATTATATGTGATAAGCGTTTCCGACAAAACAATCACCGACGACCAGATATAACAAAGTAACTTTCAATGAACAAGACTTATCATTAAGAAATGAAACATTTAAATACACCTTTACAACATCAATAATGGCATCTTTTCTTAAACTTTCTCAGTTATTTTTTTTTCTTCAGCTTCTAGTTCATCTTCTACATAGATTTAGTAAATTTTCTCTAAGAAATCTATTAGAATTCTTCTGATTTAACTGATCAATCATGGTTTCCTTTTCATTGATACATAATGTTTATTTAAATACATTAAAAAAGAGGGTAAATTATCTTTTTTTCTTCTTCTTGTTTCCTGAGTATAAATTGTACATAATTGTTGTTTAAATACAAAATAAGTTTTTATATTTTCTTAAACTTGATCAATTATAAGAATTTGAATTAATGATTTACTATTAGGAAACTGGACAATAAGAATTTGGTTCTACAAACCATTTTGTTTATTTGTTTTATGATTATTATTATTACTCAGAATCATTGGTAATTCAATAATAAGCATGAAAAAATATTAATATTCATTACATAATATTCTTTTGTGAGAAATGTACAAATGAGAAAATTTGTTTCTTTAATTTACCATTGTCTATATTTACAATATTTACTTAATTCTTTATTATCACAGATTGAAATCATGAGTCAGTTCAAGTTAGACCACCATTGAAAACCTGGAAGCACTGGACGGCCGTTTCGTCCTAGTACGGGACTCCTCAGCAGTGCGCATCCACGATCCCGCACCACGCGGGGCTCGAACCCAGGACTTGCTGGCTTCACGCGCGAGCACTTAACCACTAGACCACTGAGCCGGCATCCAACGGTGTTAATGTCTAACTTCAACCAATCCACGAAGTTGCGCCACCGTACACCATTGTCTTCAGTGAGTTCCTATCTCACAACAGACCTGGTTGAACTCCACTGGTAACGGCTTCTCACTAGAACTTCGGGAGTTTTTCCTGAAGTCAGTCACTAGTGAGCACTTGATTATTATCAGAATGGGTTTTGTGGAGATTTTAGAAATTTCACAGATTGAAATCATGAGTCAGTTGAAGCTAGACCACACTATTATTAGATCACACTATTATTTGATAAAAATTAATGCGATACATTTAATTTTGTTTTTTTACATTCATATATATTGTACTTCTTCTTTGAAATAGTGAACATATTGAAAGTATTTTACAAAAACTTGTTCAATTATTATCGGATCCAATTGGTCCAATGTTTTCTAATTGGTATGGTCGTCCTCCGATACCAAGTAGACAAATGGATGAATTATGTCGTAATTTATCGAAATTAATTGGAATGACTAAAAATGTATTACCTGCTAAAACACTTACGGTAAGTTTAAAAGAATGAATTTATTTTCTTTTGTAAACAAATAAACTAAATACATATAAAACTCAAATTTTATTATTCCTATTTAATGTTTTTATATCTTAGACAATAATCATTATAATTCACTTGGTATTGTTTGGCTTGTATCTTCCCATTGAGGTTTATGATTGCAATTGATCAGTCTTTTATTGGCATGTGCATACTGTGTGTATGCCTCGATATTACCTTAATTCACAAGCTATTTGTAAGCAATGATGAATAGTGGCTAGTAGTGGAATCCAGGACGCGCGTTTCGTTCTATTAGGGGCTCGTCAGCTGGATGTACCTGCATCTCAGAGTTGATGTTCACTCTAGGCCTCGACTTCAGTACCGTTCGCTTCAAACGCCATTGCGTTATCCACTCAGCTACTGAGTCCTGATATATTATATTATACTATTTTTATCAGTATGAAAATTTGTGAAGATTGTTGAATATTATTTCGACAGTTGATAATTATCATGTTATCACTAGTTACTAACTTTGAAAGTAAGTTGTGTCCAGTGGAGCTTAATGGTGTCGTGCTTGAGGCAGTTACCGTAACATTATTACTGAATTGAATTAAGATTTATTCATATTTTGAGTTTCTATCAAACTGATACAGAAGAATATTGATCCATTGTTTTTTACTGGTTTCTCCTCAGATGTTTAGTAAATGTAAATGATTGACAAATTGGAAGGAAAACGATTACAGTGTTATATATATGCTTATTTATATACATGTATTCGTTGTCATTCGAATCTTGTTAAACTATAATGTATAGCAACAATTATCTAGTTCCATTAGTGTTATAATTTGTTCTACACGTGGCATACAATAGAGCATTATTGATTTACAACCTTTCAAATCAAACTTCAAGGAATTTATCCTAAACTTGTTCACTACAATTTTTGTTGCTACAAGATTTCTACATAATTGATTTCTTAATGGGAATAGGCATTGGCACAATGTATTTCAGTCTCAAGAATTTAATACAATATTGTCTTTGATTTACAATTCCATATCTTATTGTTATTACTGTTTTTTTCTATATGCTTTACATTTTCCATTTCTCTCTCTCTCCCTCTATCTTTGTATATACATTTATGAATATGATCTGATTTTTTACTTCTAATATATTTTTATTTATTTAAGAAAAATGAATAGCTTATCTTTTTCAATTTATGTCTTCATCAGTGTACCTATTCTTTCGTTCTGGTAATATGTGATATTATCGTCATACAGTTATTCTTTTTACTAAATTACTTTAATGGTGATGATGATGTCGGTGAGGATCTTTCCACCTTTTAGTAAATAGATTAATCATTGCTATCAGTTTCATAATGTTCAGCCTGATAAAACATTGAGTCCATCTACTGTTTTTTTCCTTGGGGGGAGGGACTCATCCTTACTTATTATGCATAGTACATATGCATTACAATTTTGTAGAATATCTAAGTCCATTATACTAAAAAAAAAGCTACATCTTTAATTGGTTAAATCAAATGACCTGATCTCGACTACTACTTTTAAATCAATGAAATCAAATGTTATGGTTATGTAACTTGTAAACTGCAGTACATTTTAGTTCAATGTATTATAAATAGAATTGTTTCTGATTAGTTGGAACGTCTTATTTACTCTATTGAAAATATCTAAATGTTTTCTGTCCTGAGTTTAAAATTAATTCATGCATATAGTCAATATGATAATGTTCCCAGTTGATGAATTGTTTACCGTTTTCTTTCTATCTTTCAAACAACTCACTACATGTTTCACTTATTAGTATTCTGTAACGTTTTTAAATTTATTTTTTCTAATATTACGATTTGATTACCTTCCTATTTATATTGTGTTACTTACTATATTTGATGAGAACTGAATACTACAGTCAGTCGTGGATTACATTTTCGCACACATGTTCAGATTAGCTCTTATTTGTTGTTGATAACGGTATTTCTCATTCCAATTTTATCCATAAAAGAAGCATTGTTTTAGTAGAGGATGTAGTCAGTGAATATAATGTGTACATTAGGAATCTGTGTTAAATCACTTGAATCACACAAACGATTGCAGCCTCGGTTATCAAATAATCATACTTTCTGTTGTCAAAAAAACCCAGCTAAAACCTAATTTTTTCACTATATCACTAAGTTTTCTTTACACAATAGTATCGTTTTATTAGCTAGTTAGTTGTGCAATAATAATCACAAACTAAGTCAATCAGCTACAACGTAAAACCAGGCACATGAATGCCACACCTCATTAGTACAACAAGATGAACACTAAATTCATAGAAGTGGTTACTTCAATAGTAGTAATATATTAAACAAAGATTGCATGTAAGGATATCATACACAGAGAAAGAATTAGTTCGTAAAAAGAAAAGTATAAAGCAATTTTAATCTCACAGTTTAAGGGAAGACAAAGAGTGTATACACCGATGTCGTTGTGATATATATATATATATATATATATATATATATATATATATATATATATATATATATATATATATATATATATATAATATTATTTAACCTTGCTTCATATCCATTGTGTTAGAGTTAATGAGATAATCTAATAATTCCGGATCATGGTAGGTGAAATCCAAGTACCATTATATATTTGTATGCATACTTGGATTATATCTGTATTATATTTTTTCTCCATTGAATAAGCGTCTTCATGTTATTCATTTTGTCGGTTCGAAGTTGTAGATGTTAAATTGTATTTGTATTATTATATTGTTTTCCTATTTCTTCATTACTTATCATTGTGTGTGTTCTTTTCTATCAATTCAACATTTACTAGTCTATCCTATTGCGTGTTCATAACGAATTAAAGGTGCAGTTACGTCATCGTATTAGTGAACTTGGTATTGTTGCCGATGGTGGACCTCAACAAAGGTAATTCACTGATCTTTTTTCTCCAAATCACTATAATCTGATTATAATTACATTTAGAAGCTAAAATAATTTGACAACATATTATAGTTTTGTAATCCTTGTTCTTTTATGTGGAGGTTTTTGTGGATATTTGAATTTTTACTACAGAATAAAATCATTTGAAGGACCCTTGAGGATTACGAAACACTACTCAGTTATTTCATCCTATTATTAAATTTCTTAGCACTAAATACCGTTTAAGTAATGTATATTGGAAAATATTGACACTTTTCAACAATCCAAGCAAGCGGTTTTAGTCAAAATCTAATAACTTACATTTCCAACCTCAATCAATTCTGTGTTCTAGTACAGATTGTTTTCTAATTTCATCACTAAGCGAAATCATCTCTCAGTCGTCATGTAACCTCATTCTATCGTTTGGCGAGAAGTATTAAAAGCCCTTGTAATGTAACCCTTATAAATCAAAGGTCATTTAGTTCCGTCGTATCGATCCGATTAATATGGAGATAATTCATCTCATGAAATGATTGTCGATTAAATGAGTCGTTTATTCCATCCAGTATAATTTCTTGATTTTCAACACCTTAGTTGATTGCAGTTTATATCGATACCTATGTGAAGGTGTATTTCGTTTTGATATCTTGAAAAAGCTTCTAAAAATAGAATTCTTTCTCATTATAATAACTGAAATTAGTTTATTCGAATAAGCAAACGATTATCATCCTGAGTGAAGTTCTGCTCTGACGAGTCCAAAATAGGACGGAACGCGCTTTCTGGATTCTCCTGCTAGCCACCATCCACATCTGTTTATATTAATTATTTTATGTTATTGAAATGTTGACTGTTTGTTGTTCGTTTTAAATAAATTTTTATGTAGAAAGTAGGTTGATGAAACAACCGGAAGTAAACATCTTAATTTTAGTCAAACATATTTTTTCTTGACACAGTGTTTATTGGCAGGTTAAATAAGATTATATGGTTTCTATGTGAACATTCAGTAGTTGAATTCATGAGTGAATTGAAGCTAGATCACCATGGAAAGCCTGGAAGCACTGGACGGCCGTTTCGTCCTAGTATTGGACTCCTCAGCAGTGCGCATCCATTCGTTAAAAATTATGTTTAATATAATCTAAGCGGTTGGAATGTAAGTAGTTCAAGCGTTTCACTCAATAAACTAGTTCGAACGTCCTTAGGGAAGTAATCCTAATCCATATTATCAAAGAATGTATAAGGAATAATAGCAAAATTACACTACGAGTTTGTTCAATCATATTTATTTTGTACACAGTAAAGTCATGAGGCAGTCTGATGTAAAAATTAATCACCGGATAAGGATTCAAGGGTATGTGTGTGTATATCTGCATGCAGTTTTTATGTAGGGAGAAGGGCTTTTAAACGTTCACATTTTTTATCTCATCAACTGACTGGATTAATAATAATAGTTCAATATAACATGGGAGGCAGTTACTCACTGAAGACAATGGTGGGCCGTTACCTAATATCGTGGATTATGAAAATTAGACATTCACACCGTTGGGTGCCGGCTCAATGGTCTAGAGGATAAGCGTTCGCCCTGGAGATCGAGGACCCTGGGTTCGAGTCTCTCTTCGTGCTAGATCATGGATGCACACTGTTGAGGAGTCCCATACTAGGACGAAACGACCGTTCGGTGCTCCCAGGTTTTCAATGGTGGTCTAACATAGGCCCATTCCTGATATCAGTCTGAACTCAACAATCTCCACAATTCTTTACAGATAATTTAAAAGTTTTTCCCCGATTTATTTCTTACTGTTTGGTCTCAGAAATGAAAAATAAATTTTTATCATATATTTTTGAATAACAGCTCCAGTTGAACCTAGGATGAGTGTTTCGTCGTATCTTCATAGAATTATCAGTGTTTTAAAAAAAAAGAAACTAATCCCTTCTATTGTATACTATTGATGTAGTTAGATGTAATGTTGAATTTCCAATACTTTTTAGTTTAACATAAAATGTTGTTATCATGAACATATTGTGCACAATATACACAGTTACAATTTCAATGAGTTAGAATTTATCCATTTATTATTTATTATCATTTTGTACAATACAACTTAAAACGTGTCATTGTTATCTCTTTTTATATCATGATTATGTAAATTTGGCATTTATGACATGCGCATTAATATATTGTTTTTTTTGGTAACGATAACAGTATCAGTATCGTTCTCATATTTAGATTAGATATTTAACTAATAACTATTGAAAAGATATTATCATATCTAATATCCCAGGGACTATGTCTAAAATGTTTCCGCCATAATCCCATTTCCCCCCCCACAAGATTCATAGCTCTACCGAACATATAGTTTATGCTTGTGTTATGTATCAAACTATCCCGATTTTCTGTGCTATTTTCTAAAATTATTTCACGTTAAATAGTGACTAGATTCACTTTGAATTGTATGTGTTAGTTTGTTTATTTTATACTATCTTTTAACTTATTCACATCATTTGATGACTTAAATGTTTCTCTAATGTATTCTTCTATTTTCTCTTCTTTCTCCCACTATCCTTTGTATTTTAGCTTGATCGATTCGGAAATCCTCCACTATATTGATTATTTTAAAACACTCACACCACAACTACAAAAATTCGTTGATGATTGTTCTGATATCTGGCCATCATAAATAATATTGACTGTCCATTTACAAAATTCCCATGCAAGATGTGGTCTGGTAAAAAAAGATAAGCCACAAATACGCTTCTGCCTGTCTATATTAGCTAGAAGTATTTATTCACCTTGTGTCTTTCATTATTTATAAATGGATATACTTTATATTTTGTGAATAAATTGTGAGTCTTTCATTATTGTGAATGTTTATACATACAAAGAATAAACTGATTTCTGTGGTCCTATCATTCCAATAGACATATTTAAATAGATCAATTGTGTGTGTGTGTGTATTCGTGCGCAAAATGTTTCTCCCTCCCTCACTTGTGTATACATTTTCCTCTATTCTCTGCTGTTATTATCAGTATTATTATGTTTTGCTGTTTCTTTCTGTCTTACTTTATTCCTTCTGTTCATATTCAAGTTTTTTAATGAGTAAATTTTCCACATTAAACTTTAATTTTAGTAATAATAATCTTTTTAAATTATCATTATTAGTAGTACCAGTAAAATGGGTTTACACAGTATTCATCTATTGTTTATTATTGCTTCTATTGAAGAATATGTTGTATAATTTTTTTTGGGGGGGTGTCAATTAAATGTGTGGGAAAACGATATAGAAGTTTGCAAATTTCTGTAATATGTGTTACTAATTAATGAAATCTCTTTTAAATATCAGGTAACTTGTCAATTGAGTTCAAGGCGTTTTGTTATGCTGTGTTGTTTTCTAAGTCTTACTCATATATATATAGGATTTTCATTCGACAACCGAGTCAATAATATATGCATACTGAATGTACAGACTTCTCGAATCCTGGCCAATAATGTATATTTATCATATAGTCTGTCTGATTGGTCGAACGTTTCATTTTTTCTTAGTCTTTGAGGGACATAGTACCATCCATGTAAGAATAGATTGAAGTTTACGAGACGACTATCGTATTAAAGTTGTGTAGAATTGAGTTTTGAATGTTCATTCTAATGGTTGAAAATCATGAAATAGTGGGGTGATTTATTTGCTGGTTCACTTCAGCTAAAATTTGACTAAATGTTTATAACTTTACTTTTTTCAGCTTATTGTTGTATAAACAGAAAACACAATGGAGACGAATAAAAAAATATTTGTGTTCTTTTTTATTTAGTGTATCAAGTATTAACGAAGTTTGGTTCAATGTTATATTTGCTAATTGCATTTTTAAATTGATAATTCAAAGGAATCATTTGCATCTATGAATTCACGTAATCCATCCATGTTTCTACTACACCTTCTAATTCATTTAATTCCAGTTTAAAAAAATCAATGAACTATCTGTACTGAAATCTGCCTAGCGTCTTGCAGAATATGTTAAGTATAGAAATGTAGTGAAAGCACCTAGTAACATAGGTGATGTTTAAAACAGCACTTCTGGATATTCTGCAGAATAAATCAATCGTAGTAACTTTTCTATGGCACCATTCTCTATCATCCGCTTAGTTTTAGAGTTTACTAAATTTTAGCATTTGATTATCCATTAGATTCATTTGGGTAATTGACGCAAACTGGATTCTGTCAAATATAATTTGTTGGACATTTTCGCTTCCGAAGGTTATGCAGAGAACCATTTTGTGCACAAGTGTTTTTTACGTTAAATTCATAAGGAAATTCAAATAAAAGACATTGTTTGAAATGCAAAGTAAATTTTTTTTAATTAAGCTAAGCCGGTTGGATAATGGTGTGCTACAGTGGTTATTATTGAAGGCATTTTGTTATCATCTGCAGTATTGTCAAAAAATTGAAACAGAACGTTTTGTAAACTCATCTTGACTATCTGTAAGCGCAATAATGACCGAAATTCAGTAGATATATGAACTGTACTTTTGTATAGTGAGGTCATTGACGTAAGTAATGTTTTTCTGGGAAGATATCAGTGATTCATTCCCCAAAAAAATAGTTGGAACTGCAGAAAGAAAATGTCAACCAGCTTCCAAATAAAAGTCATTAGAAAATAAGAAATGTGAGTACTATGTTGAATACTGCTTCATTATTTCCAAGACGAATAGATCAGGATGAAGTTGAGAGTTATTTTATGTGTTTTTAAAAATAATATTTACCAGCAATAGTGAATCTAAGAAAATCTGTAAGGAAATATTTAACCTCAAAAATTTCTTCTTGATAGCATTATCCTGATGTTAATGTGAAAATCCTCAATGAATCACATTAACCTTCACTCATTGATTTTAAAATTGATAATCAAAATTCAATGTAAAATATTCATAGTTCATTTTCTGTGATCTTGATGATTTCTCAAAATAACCACTGGGTAAGTACATGAATAATCAGTTTGTTTAGCATAGATTTTTCTTAGAATCGAATCATTCAGCACCTAGCTATAAATCATAGATTAAAATCCAAGAAATTGTGCTGATTTAAAATTTTTGATATATTGTTCAACTTATCTTCACTCTATCTGAACAGTTGTAACACACACACACACTATTTGTACTACTTGATCAAAAGGTGACTTTACCTCTGGTTACCATTTCTCATTAAAAGTTATCCTCAAAGAATTTTTTTGTTGTTGTTTGAGTGAAGTTTATGATCTAAATGTAAATAAATTGAGTTTATATTTATCATCTTGTGTTAGACTATTTGATTGTATATTAAATCACTTTTTCCACAATAAAATAAACCTTTTTCTTTCTTTATTTTATAGTTATTGTTGTACAAATTGAAATTATATTTATACAAGATTATACATATGAAAATTCAATAAAAATTATATATTAAAATCAAATTGATAAGTAATTGAATTTGAATAGTAGTAATTTGTACTAATTTCATTGTTTCTATGTTAATAAACATGGTAACAAGATAAATATGAATGTTTAAAATAATATTACTCATAGTGATATGAAGAGTAAATATTAATTTCATTGTATAAGATTTACATATGTGATCATACTGTTGAATTAATATCAAAAGTATGAGATCATGTATGTAATAGATTAAATAAAATATAAATTGAAAGGATACTTCACTTATACAAATACAAACACAGAGATAGAGATAATATGAGGATAGAATTAGAATGCATCATAGTTGTATTTAATAATTAAACATTAAAACTAAGAAATCATCACAGTTAGTAAGAATACAGATAATTAATTTTAAAATGATGACATTGATTCGAATAATAAATAAGCAAAAGAGTATTCAATATTAAATTCTTTATCTTATATTAATATTTTATTTATAATGAAAAAACTTTACTAGAAGGAAGTTAAATAAATAAAAAATATTTATAAAGTACTCAATTGTGAACATTCAGTTTCATTTTCATTTATAGGAATTTTACCTCGTGTCCGACGTGAACAACATCCAGTACTAGTTAATCGAAATGAATAAGCTGAACTTGGCAAATTATCTAATCGACTAGCCATTGGATATAAGAAAAATGGATAAACAATTAAACCAAATAGAACTGATAATCCCACTTCTATATAAAATCCATCTAATTGTGTAACACATGTTCCATGAATAGTTTCACAAGCCTAAAGAAGAAAATTAACACAAGATTAATAAATATTGTTTTATTTGTTACAAATTTTACAATTAAACAAACGATTGTTTTAACCGAGTCGACACACTATTGAAAAATCAGTTAGATAAATAGTTTGAACGAATGGGCTTCCTGATCTTCCATTAATTCAGTTTGACCTAGTACACATTTCAACATTTATCCACGCTTCTAGTTGACAAATTTAAAATTTGTCGTGTATAAGCTGTACGTACAACTAACAAAATTAGAAAGAACCGCTGTGATGGAAAATGGTTTTCCTCCCAAAAATGAGAACTTAACTAAGATATTCTTCATGAACATTAGGTTCAAAGAGGATATGTCAGTAGAGATCATGAAAAGCCGATTGTTGAAATCTTTAAGAAAGACATATTCAGACGAGCTACAAAGTGTTTTTCATAAAAAAAAGGTATAGCAAGGATTAACTAGAAGTTTATGTTACCTCATTCTGAATCTATCAGTTGACTTTCTCTTATTAACTAGGTTATGGTGGCTGCTTTCTCTTTGCAATGGCACACTCAGACATTATGTTATATAGCTATCTAGTAATTATTTACAAAGTCAAGCAAACTGGCTCGGAGAGCCTGTGTTAGAAACCTGTGCATAACAATGACTTAAAAAATTCATTAAGTCAATCTTGTTCTCTTTATTCAGAGGCAACAAGCCAAATCCTTTATTTTCCTCTGTCTTTAAATCCCATAGCTTTTCATCACTAAGCTTTTGTTTATCCATTGTATTCGTCAAGTGGACAAGTATATTTTATAGCTCTTTATGCAATAACTCCACATCATTGTATCTTGTTACCTTTGAGCTATTACGTAACTTCCACTCAATAATGAAAAGTTTTCATAACACTTTGATAGCTTTGTTGATGACCTTAATATTAGTATTATTCGTAACTAAGGCTAAATAAAATAGTTATATTCAATAAAATTATTTAATTTATGGAGAACACAGTTCAAATATCTAAGTACTCGGTATGAGGATTTGCAGAAATTTGAGTGTTATTGATATCACAACCCGACCTAAGTTGGATAACCACTTAAAGCCAGGAAGTATTAGACAGCTTTTTAGTTGTAGTATCGGACATCTAATCTGTGCACATCCACGACCTCACCACAGTGGACTGAACTCAGGACTTTTTGTAGGATGTGCGAGCACTCAACCTTTAAACCACTGAACCGGCTACCAACTGGGTATATGTTTAACTTCATGTTCCCAATAATCTACAGCAACCTACACAACCTCTATACTGAAAATTATTGATTACCTCTTGCTAACTAATCATTCTGGTAAAATGATCTTCATAAACAATTACTGCTCGATGTTCTAATCTATTTTATGATTAGTTTATTATGAAAGGCAACTTTTAAAAAAACAGAACAGAATTCTTTATTTATTATAGAATTATTCAAACTAATTTATAACTTAAATAAAAATGACTTCTTTTTAAATAATAAAACACACTTACTTTAATTCCATGGGGTTGTTTACATGTTGCATTATATTGTTGGACTAATTGATCTTTGTCAAAAAATGAATAACTATTGTTATAATTATCATTATTGGTTGTGTTATACAATAGTGAATTATTTGAATTGATACTTTGAATAATTGTTTGATTGAATTCTTTCAAAATACATGCACGTTTAGTTAACGGTTCGATTAACGAAAGGAAAGCAGTACTGGGCAAGCTACCAGCTTTAAAGGTAAAATTAAAAAGCAAATATATATAGTGGTAATGATGTGAAAGTCTTTTTTTATTCTTAAAACTAATTTATGGTGCTTCAAATAATGTGAAATACTATTTACAATCAAACAGTAATATACATCAGTTGATTTTCATAAGTGTATTATCAGTGGTATGTGTATATATACTTTAGCATATAAATTTTAATTCCAACTGGTCTGACTAAAACTCAGAAAACTATCATTCTTCTACGATACATCTTAGCAGTGAATAATTCACTATACCATAAGATCACTAGATCGTTTACCCATTTGATTGAACCCATAAAGAAGAAAACCTTTTGTATACGGAATGAAAAACAGCTTGAATATCATTTGTAGAATTTACTAGCTTATACTGAAAGTGTATGATTTATTTAGATGTAGAGTTTTCATTTAGTAATGTTCCGTTAAAAGAGATTCTCAATATCATTTGCGATCAGTCTAATAGAAGTGACTTTCGAAAGAGCCTAAAAGATCTGTATCTGTTATGCTCAGATAATGTGTGTATTTTCAACAAACAACATGTAACTATCCTCAGTCCTCAAGACCTCATTTTCGCTTGGATTTTTTCTAGCGCAACTAGAAAACATCATACTAAAGGAAATGATAAACAAACGTCACTGTATTTCACATATGTTGATTATGTCTTCATCATATATGTTAATAGAGACCAATCAAATCTGTTATTTAGATCTTTCAATGCGATTTAATCAAATTTAAAGTAAAGTACAAAAAAGAATGAGTTTCGTACATTTAACGATAACAAAAATGGACGACGGTTGGATCTCATGTTCCGTAATAAATCTCGTCTAGTTACCTTCAACTTGATCTATTTATTTACCTGTGCATGGAGCGACACTTACGATGAACAGAGAGTATATCTGAAAGAATCCTTGAACATTTACCTAGGAATTAGGTGTTCGATTGCCACAAACTACTCGATGATGCCATAGGAAGAAATATCATACATTCAATAATTCAGCAGTTCTTTTTATTTCGTTTCCAGTGGTAAACAGAAAGATTGAGAACAAATTTCTACGCTCTGCAGAAGTAGTTGTTATTTGCCATTTCAACCCCAACTTATACGTTAAAAAAAAGATATGTTCCAATTGGAACTGCCCTGGTAATCAACTCACTACCCTTTCTTTTTTATTCTCTCGGTTATATTGATTTGACCTCATCTTTATTTAACCACAATAACACTTTTATTACTTATTTTAGTCAAATTTTCGTCTTTAACTTGTTATTTATACCGGTCTAATTACTTGAAGACAATTCAATAAAATGTTTGACCCTTTTTAAACATCCAACCACTCCTGTTTTCGTCTACCTTCTGTAAATATTATTTCCATCATTAGTATTATTATTATTATCATTATTATGATCATTTCACAATCCTTTTTCGGTTATTACTATCAGTTTCGTCATTTTTATCTACAGAAATCATAACGATTTATGTATGCTTTTACACTCGATTACGTCATAGTCCCCCACTCCATATGTTCATGAGTACAGAAATTATATAAAGTCACTTTTCACGAATGTACCAGATAACTTTATGTATGCTACACATTGAAGTATATTTGTGAAAACATTTCATTAAATTCTATGATTCAATGCACATGTGAAAAATATAAAGCACAAGAAATAGAATGTATTTAACTCATCCAACAACGTTTATTGTTCTTGATTTACGTAAGTTAATTCAAACCTTCATGAGTATATGAATTTACAAGAATTATAGCTGATAGCAGTTATTGGTAATCTTTGTGTTACTTAGAATCAGAAACACCCATTTACTGGATTACAATCTCATTGCTCACATATCTAATGTTTGTTGGGAAAAACTTTTGTTATGATTTTCTCCATATTAAAGGTGTACATTTTTGAAATACCAAAATACAGAAGAATATCAAAGTCTCAGTGGTATTTCTAATAACATCCTTAATGAAATAAACAATTAGGTAAAGAATTATGTCAAACCATTAAGCTGGTTAATAGTTCAAATAGTGAAATCCAACAGTTCGTATTTATCTCAATCACTAGTAAACATTCTCAGATTCATAAATAATTTATCATTTCATTTAAGTAATGTAATTAGAACTCAGCGAAATGAAGTGTCCTTTTCTCTCTCGAAAATATCGAATGATTTATATTAGTAAGTTAATGAATTATACATTGATTTTCATTAAACTATATATATAAAACATTGACAGCAAGAACTTTCAAACCTTTACAAATAAAATACAACCCATATCCGTTGTACAAGCACATGACTATCTGAACTCAGTAGCTATGTGAATAACGCGTTAAGGCTTTGAAGTAAAAAGTAATGGGTTTGAGTCTCTATGTAAACATCAACACTATGGTACGGGAAGATATAATTGACGGGTTC